CTGCCAGTTCACGACATAGCGCGACCACTTCGCAATGTCTTCTTCGATGAGTTACTGCCTCATCTTCGACCTGCTGTACCCTACTGGTCACGGCTTCCCACTAGAACCCCAGGTTAACTGCCTGAATAGGGCCAGTCACTAGTGAGCATCAGATGAATTTTCAAGTATTGGTTTTTGTAGGGATTTTGTTTTGATTGCATGGAGGATTTAATCATGAGCTGACATCAGTTAGAGAACCACTGGAAAACCTGGGAGTACTGGACAGCCGTTTCGTCCTAGTTTGGGACTCCTCAGCAGTACGCACCCACCGGGATTCGAACCCAGGACCTTCTGGTTACAAGGCGAGCTCGTAGACCATTGAGCCACTGGGACCCGATCCAATGGTCCTTGAATTCTAACTTCTGCCAGTTCACGACATAGCGCGACCACTTCGCAATGTCTTCTTCGATGAGTTACTGCCTCATCTTCGACCTGCTGTACCCTACTGGTCACGGCTTCCCACTAGAACCCCAGGTTAACTGCCTGAATAGGGCCAGTCACTAGTGAGCATCAGATGAATTTTCAAGTATTGGTTTTTGTAGGGATTTTGTTTTGATTGCATGGAGGATTTAATCATGAGCTGACATCAGTTAGAGAACCACTGGAAAACCTGGGAGTACTGGACAGCCGTTTCGTCCTAGTTTGGGACTCCTCAGCAGTACGCACCCACCGGGATTCGAACCCAGGACCTTCTGGTTACAAGGCGAGCTCGTAGACCATTGAGCCACTGGGACCCGATCCAATGGTCCTTGAATTCTAACTTCTGCCAGTTCACGACATAGCGCGACCACTTCGCAATGTCTTCTTCGATGAGTTACTGCCTCATCTTCGACCTGCTGTACCCTACTGGTCACGGCTTCCCACTAGAACCCCAGGTTAACTGCCTGAATAGGGCCAGTCACTAGTGAGCATCAGATGAATTTTCAAGTATTGGTTTTTGTAGGGATTTTGTTTTGATTGCATGGAGGATTTAATCATGAGCTGACATCAGTTAGAGAACCACTGGAAAACCTGGGAGTACTGGACAGCCGTTTCGTCCTAGTTTGGGACTCCTCAGCAGTACGCACCCACCGGGATTCGAACCCAGGACCTTCTGGTTACAAGGCGAGCTCGTAGACCATTGAGCCACTGGGACCCGATCCAATGGTCCTTGAATTCTAACTTCTGCCAGTTCACGACATAGCGCGACCACTTCGCAATGTCTTCTTCGATGAGTTACTGCCTCATCTTCGACCTGCTGTACCCTACTGGTCACGGCTTCCCACTAGAACCCCAGGTTAACTGCCTGAATAGGGCCAGTCACTAGTGAGCATCAGATGAATTTTCAAGTATTGGTTTTTGTAGGGATTTTGTTTTGATTGCATGGAGGATTTAATCATGAGCTGACATCAGTTAGAGAACCACTGGAAAACCTGGGAGTACTGGACAGCCGTTTCGTCCTAGTTTGGGACTCCTCAGCAGTACGCACCCACCGGGATTCGAACCCAGGACCTTCTGGTTACAAGGCGAGCTCGTAGACCATTGAGCCACTGGGACCCGATCCAATGGTCCTTGAATTCTAACTTCTGCCAGTTCACGACATAGCGCGACCACTTCGCAATGTCTTCTTCGATGAGTTACTGCCTCATCTTCGACCTGCTGTACCCTACTGGTCACGGCTTCCCACTAGAACCCCAGGTTAACTGCCTGAATAGGGCCAGTCACTAGTGAGCATCAGATGAATTTTCAAGTATTGGTTTTTGTAGGGATTTTGTTTTGATTGCATGGAGGATTTAATCATGAGCTGACATCAGTTAGAGAACCACTGGAAAACCTGGGAGTACTGGACAGCCGTTTCGTCCTAGTTTGGGACTCCTCAGCAGTACGCACCCACCGGGATTCGAACCCAGGACCTTCTGGTTACAAGGCGAGCTCGTAGACCATTGAGCCACTGGGACCCGATCCAATGGTCCTTGAATTCTAACTTCTGCCAGTTCACGACATAGCGCGACCACTTCGCAATGTCTTCTTCGATGAGTTACTGCCTCATCTTCGACCTGCTGTACCCTACTGGTCACGGCTTCCCACTAGAACCCCAGGTTAACTGCCTGAATAGGGCCAGTCACTAGTGAGCATCAGATGAATTTTCAAGTATTGGTTTTTGTAGGGATTTTGTTAAGACATTGTTTTACAACTGTTTATTCGCACACACACTCATACACACTGTGTTTAAAGTGTTTAACAAATGTAGACCAATATTTGTAAGTCTGAGGTCAAATTTTGATCACAACTCATACAATTTTGTTTATTATACTTTTAATATTTGTTTTATGAATCACGATTGGACAAAGTTTTTAAGAACTAAAGATGTTCTTTTCATATATAAACCTGTTATGTTAATTTCGATTAATTTCCCTGAAGAAGTTCGGACCAGATTTCCGAACGAAACGTTGGAATTACTCATTTCAATATCGCTGAGATTTTACAAATATAATTTTTTACAAATGTCCAGTTCTCACTCGGCCCCCAAATATTATAGAACTATTCTGTCAAATCTTGACTACAGTTCATTTGATTTATTTTGTAAAAAATTTTCCTTTCAATGAATCTGTCACTAGAGAGTACATTAATTTGACAGTAATTTATAAATAAATATTGATATTGACAACATGAATGTTTTAAATTACAATGAATGAACGACATCGACAGATAACATTTAAAAAGCAAAATCAAGAGATAATTATTAATATTTTCAAACATTCCCATTCTTAACATTGGAACAAGACATATAAGCGAACAATATTGTTTTCAATTAGATCTTCATCAGGCTTTACTCAAATTTACATAGATTTATATATAAAAATTTTCAGTGGTGATTTTGTGGATCAAATAATAATAATAACGATAATAATAATAATAATGTGGTAAATGTTTTGAACGTAGTTAATAACGATGATTTTAGTGATGACAAAATAATGATAATAAGGTTTATGCAGATGGCGATAAGAATAACAAAGGTAGTAATATGTGTATATGTAGACAATTCAATATATGTATAGATATAGACGGAACTTCACAATTGGTCTGCCCAAAGTAGGTGGAATTAGACATATCTAGGACTGGGCGCAGAGGAAGTCCTGATTTATGTACTTTGGGCAGACCAATTGTGAAGTATTACTTCCAGTAAGTTTAAGATGGTTGTGGGTTGCCTCTGATATTATTCTTCTTTTTCTCTGCTCCTTAAGCGTGTTAGTTAACTGCTTTTAAGCTTTTCCGTCTATATCTGTCGGGTTGCTAAGCTTTTCGAACTTCGTTTCATCCACTAGAAGGGAATTCATTTTGTCTACATAATCATACTTATTCATAAGTACCACTCCGTCTCCTTTATCAGGTCTACTGATTATAATGTTTTCGTCGTTCCTTAGCTTTCTTAGAGCTTCTCGGTGGTGTTTAGTCAGCAAACTTTTACTAGAGTGACTACTGTTTTTGTACCGCTGACAACTGTCCACTAGTGTAGTTTTAAACCTAGCAAATTCATCGTCTGACGTTGGGATCATATCTTTTGTTTGTAGGAATAGGTTTTCAAACTGGATATCGGTGTCAAGTTGGTTGACCTTATATCCTTAGTCACAAAATCTGGGACCCAATGGTAGAACTTCTAACTGTAATTTATCTAGTGTAACATTTGAAAAGTGATGGACATACCGATAAGGGTCTGAAGGGAATGAAAGGAAATCATTTTCAGGATTTTGACCTTCTAGTGATTTGATAAGTTTCGTTCACCTTTTCTCTGCTCTGTTTTGGCTTGCTCTGTCAACATACTCCATGAAATCAAATAATAAATCCTCAGGGAGTTCATCGACCGCAAATTTCTTCTGTGATAAATTCCTTTCAATAAACGAAATGTGAGTTTGTCATCTTTCAGCTCATTTGATTGATAGCGGTCAACAAGTGGACAAATATAGTGCCTTCAAAGTTATTCCACCGAGTCTTTCAAAAGGAGTTCAAATCCATCTTTTACACATAGCCGAAGCTATGGGAATTCAAGAGAATAATCCTAGTCTTTGCATACCAAAGAAGTTTATTCTACCTTTGTCTCTCACTTGACCTAGGTGAATTCTATTCAAAACCCTCTCACCCTCTCTTACTTTCCATCTCCTTCGTATTTTTATGATATTTATTTAAACTCTGATTATCTGTCGACTTCACCTTTAGTATTACGTAACTTTTAGGATTTGACCTAATTTATTTATTGAATTGTCTACATATACACATATTACTACCTTTGTTATTCTTATCGCCATCTGCATAAACCTTATTATCATTATTTTGTCATCACTAAAATCATCGTTATTAACTACGTTCAAAACATTTACCACATTATTATTATTATTATCGTTATTATTATTATTTGATCCACAAAATCACCACTGAAAATTTTTATATACAAATCTATGTAAATTAGAGTAAAGCCTGATGAAGATCTAATTGAAAACAACATTGTTCGCTTATATATCTTGATCTAATATTATAATAATTAACTAAATATTAGATGGATTGAGGGAAGTAACACGGAATATAAATGAATTTATGCGAGGAGTAGCACACCATTGTAGGAAAATGGGCTAAACTTGTTTCTTTTGCACTCAGAATTCGGTTTGGTTTAAGAGAATGTCAGTGACCTATCATATTTCGAGTGTTTAGTATCTAGAATTCTTTGGTAATTTATTCGATTGCCGATAGATGATAGAGGAATACTCTAGCTTTGTGGCCTGTTTGGATGAGGTAATCTAATATAGAAGTGAAGAGCCATTTTGTGCTACAAACTGCCTAAAAGAATGTTAACTCACATAAACTTTCTGAGTATCTTTCTCACTTTGTATAAGATTGGATAAATTATTAAATAATATAATGCACTGAGAAAATGAAAACAAGACGTAAGTAATATAATAACATTTTTAAATTTTTTGTCTCCTAAACAGACTGAAACAATTTCAACATCACAAAAACTAGCTGGCCTACCAATGACTACGCCTTCACCTACTACTCTCTCAGAATGGGATTTCGATGTCGATAACGTTCATTCAGTAAGAAAGCCAGTTAAATCAGGGTATGTATTTTTCTACAACTTCCTCACATATTAATGTATCCTTTGTTAGGTTCCTTATTTCTTTCCTCATCGATGCTCGTGGTGGTCTAGTTGAAGCTCAGAGGCGACCTGATTTACGATTTCTTGTACCCCCAAATGCACCCACTGGACCATTACGCATAATATGTCGTCTTCTCCGTCCGGGAATTATTAATAATCCACCAGGTTTGAACGACGGTGATTGTCTAGCTTGCCGGTGAGTTATATTAGTTTATATCAACAATCTTCCTGAAAGATCCATTGCTAAAATGCATGCTATATATACGTCAAAATAAGATATTTCGGGTTTATTTATATGGCTAATGAACGTAAAGATAAGTAAATAACTTAAAATCTACTGGGAAAAGTATTCTTTATATTCTGTTTTAATGACTGATAAATTGTTTATGGAGACCATCTGAAATTTCCTTAAACTTTTAAACCTATGTTAATGTAAGAAGAGTGCTGACTGAAGCTAAAACAAAACCCCCTTTATACCAAGCAATTTACCTAGAAATTTTAAAGCTGTTTTTACAATGTAAAGAATTCATTTATCGGAAAAATTATTCCAAAATTACTTACAGTTTCTTGTTTTCTTGTCTGAACGCATTTTCTTACCGAAAATACTTGAACTGGTAGGTAACAATAGAACCCTATTCAGATTACTATTAAACGTAATAATAACGTACATACGTCACAAAATCCTGCATGTTCCATTCCCTCATGAAGGATTACTCACTTTTCCAGTATGTATTCACACATTTCCCATTGCAATCAAACTAATCCAGGAAACTAAGGTGCCCTGAACACCGCCTTTGTTTCAGTTTTAAAACAATCTCCATATACAACCGTACTAGTATTTTCAGACGGGCCTATTATTATTCACTTACCAGGATGAAAAAATGCAGTGAATATATTTCGATTTCACCTAATGTACACACTAACATCCAGCTGTATTTAACAAACTGTCGAATTTAGTTTTGGGGTAACAAGCGAATGAGCTGTAAAGTACAGTAAACAGAATCTCCTTCAGAAATATTTCAGCTTCGAAATAATTTTAGTCAATGATAACTACTATTGCAAATGTTTTGATTTTAGTGTTGCAACTGGTGTGTTAACTCATTGCTACTGAGGATTCATATCAGAATTGTTATAATCAGGCTCACCTTCTTGAGTTCATGATAATAACTCTGTGAAGTAATTCCTGTTTTATTTACGAAATGAAACGCAAACATATGGAAGTTAGAAATGGACTCACAATATAAAGCATAATACTGAAGGATATCAGTATTATTTGAGAACTATAGTCATTAAGATAAACCTTGCTCTGTCTGTCTCTCTGTTTTCGACATAGAACTTTGCACAAATGTGCGGAAGTTCAAGTCGCCACATTCCGTGTAGCACGCGAAGCAAGAGAAGAAAGTACAAGAAAAGCATAATAGAAACAGTGAGCAGAGGTGTGAGACAAAGGAGTAATAAAGAAATACAAAACAGTTTCATTGAAGATCATAAGTCACAAGGAGTGGATGCATCTGCGCCACTGAGAACGATTTTGAGCCATGTCACCAATTGTTTCCAACCATAGATTTTTACCGTCCCGAGGACCCCAGCCTGGAAGTCTACACCTTCCTACGTGGCTTAGACCAACTGTTGTGGATTTCATTGACTGGTGCCAAGTTTTTGTTTGACCGCCGCTAGCTTTTTTCCAGCCTGACCCTATATCCGCTAACATTGCTCGTCGAGGGAGGCGATGGCTTGGCATACGTAACACATGTCCTAACCATCTCAGTCTTTGTAACTTCACGACTTCGTCGATTGATTTCCCCTGTTTACCTAGAACTCTACGCCTAACCTCCATGTTGCTCACCTTATTATGCCACTTTACACGGGAAATAGAGCGCAGGCACCTATGATCAAAGACAGCTAGTCTTTTCATGTCTTCCACTCTCAGTGGCCAGGTCTCACAACCATAAAGGAGGACGGAGCGGACTGATGAGCAGTACACCCGCCCTTTGGTCGATAGTCGAACATCTCGTCTACGCCAGAGTCGGCGTAAACTGGCAAATGCGAAACGAGCCCCTTGTATTCGTGCTGAGATTTCGTCAGAGATCAACCCGTTGGAGCTGATGGTACTTCCCAAATAAGTGAAGCGGTCAACGTGCTCTACCACTTCACTTCCTATTTTTAAACTAGGCGTCGATGTAGTCCAGTCCTGTAACATCATCTTGCATTTGGCGGGAGCGAATCGCATGCCAAACATTCGTAGATTGCGGCTCAAGGTGTTTAGAAGACTCTGCATTTCGTCAGCGTCTTCGCCTAGAAGGACTATATCGTCTGCATATTCCAAGTCAACGAGATTATTCCCCGGTAGCAAGTCAATCCCTGAGTCGCTGAAGTCACTTAGGGTTAAGTCCATTAACACATCTATGATGAAGTTGAATAGAAAAGGAGATAATGGGCATCCTTGACGGACACCACTGGTCGTCACCAGTTCAGATGACAGCTCGCCGTAAGCCCTCACCTGGCTGTATGAGTACGAGTAGAGTGCCTTAATCAGTGCAATGTATTTTCTCGGAATTCCCTTTACAGCCAAGCATCTCCAGAGAACTTCTCGATCGACAGAGTCGAATGCTGCCTTTAGGTCAAGAAATATAATGACTGTTGGACGCCGGTAGGAATGCCTATGTTCTAGAATCTGTCGGAGGGTGAAGATATGATCAATACACCCTCTTCCTGGTCTAAAGCCTGCCTGGCTCTCTCGTGTTTGTGCTTCCCGAGCACCACTCAGTCTACGCATGATTATTGAGCCTAAGACTTTAGATACTATATTAGTCAAGCTAATCCCTCTGTGATTATCACAGGAAGACTTGTCTCCCTTCTTGTATATGGGGATAATCAGTGACTTACACCAACCCGATGGGACTTCTGATTCCCAGACGCTGCCTAGTACCTCAGTTAATGCAGACAGTAAACTGTCTCCACCGTACTTAAATACCTCTGGAGTCATTCCATCAGGTCCCGCTGCTTTGCCTAGTTTCAGATTGGTGAGAGCTTTAGTAACCTCAGTTAGGGACGGAGGACCTGTGTCTATATCCCATTCAGGGAGGTGTTGGATGCTCGGAAGGTTGCTCTGTGTTGACTTAAGGCGTTTGTGTGCGTAAATTGAGTTCATTAGAATATAGTGGTACTGTGGCGATTGCCACTGATAAGATTCATCAGTACTATATAAAGAGACGTTCATCAGCATAAAAACAGGTCTTCCCTGCACTCATTCGTCATGCCAATATTTCACGCTTCAAATCTTCCACTTTCTGTCCCCATTCGTTCAATTTCGGTGGCTCTGTTGCTGCAGCCGTTGTGCTCAGCAGCTGCCTGGTCACATCCGCCAGCTCAGTGATGTCCATGGGTTGCGCAGCGCCAACCATTTATAGTTGCTGAGAAATGTGTTCTGGGACACTCTTGATAGACTGCGATACCAATAACTGCTGCTCTTCATCCAGTTTAGGGAGTGCTCGACGTAGCAGATTTATCCAGTCTGGTATCAGCTTCGTGGCATCGTCAGCTGCCCCTCCGTTGGACTCTCGAACTCCGCCACCAATCGTTCAACCACCAGCTTCCAGGTCTCTGTCCCACCTGACCGCTTCACACTGCTATGCGCCACTTTCGCTCGACCCTTCAATAGCGTCCCCCAGCACGACCGCATTCGCCGTAGCATCCTTGACGCCCACCAACTCAGAATCGGCTTCAAAGTTCCACAAATGTATATAAATGAAGCAAAAAGCTGTGTGAGTAGCTTGATATGATTATGAGCAATAATCTGTGCTCGAAACGTCATCGCTTAATATTACTGTGTAACACTGTGTGACTTATCAAAATAAAATCTTATCTATAATGGAATGAAACAATGTTGTAATACGTCTTCGGTTTTTCAAGTTAATAGTTAATGTAATTTCATTATGCCAATAACGTTTGGTAAAACATTAAAAAATCTGCAAGAACGGAGAGATTTAAACGACTGGCAGTTGAATGCAGAATAAGGAGGGAAACTATTAGACTGAAAGTCTCCGAGAAGTGGTCGACTGTCGGTCGCTTTCTGAGAAAATGCATTTGAAGGGTTTCTGCTGATAGTTTGAATTTGGACTCACTAAAAAATTTCTTCTGACTAATGAATTCATCATCCATATACTCACTCAAACTGGAAACTTCCCGATCTTTTTCCTGAATTTCAATGACCAGTCCGTGATAAATTCATATTTTGTTCAAAGTAATGAGACAAGGATTTTGATACCAACTTGACGAATGACGCAACTTAAAATGTAACCAAATACGTTTGTACGGACTTTGGTGAAGATTTGACCGGAAGTTTCACAATAATTTGATGCTAACTGAATAGTAGACATAAATAAGGATTGCATTTGTTTAAATCACAGAGAAAATAAAAATGAATAATTCCAATGTTTTTTTCGGTAAATTGGTCCGAACTTGTTCCTGGGAATAATAAAAACTTTAATGTCAAAAGTAAAAATACAGTGAGAGATTTCTGGCGAGGGTGAAATTCATGTTCTAAATATCGTAGACAATAGCAGCAATTAATCATCTTCACAACGTTTTTGGAGAGAAAACAAAAAACTTAAGTAATGCTGACACACACAGGCCAAATAAACCCGTAAATCAGCAAGTGAAGCAATTAATGTTTTCAAACTGAAATGTAATTTAATACTATGTAATAATTCTTGAAACAATCACCTGTTTTAAAAAATGGACGGTTCGAAGTTGACTTTTAACCGAAAGACGTGTCACATACAAAATTACTGGTATAATGCAATGCTGTTGAATTACAATTATAACTTGTGCGTAATTAATATTTCTGTTTCGTTTTAGGATCATTGAAATGAGTCCATACCAAATGCGTTTCTCTCTGCCTATTCTTATTGAAGTGCCACACATAGTTTCAGGTAGAGGAAGAGAACGTGAAATTATAATTATTCGTAGTGAAACGGGAAATTCTTGGAAAGAGCACACACTAGAAGCAACAGAACAAGCGATTCATGACTCCTTGGGGGATGCATTCGGTAAGTCCATTAGTTTTCGCCGCGGTGTTATAAAATGGACGGTATCCTGTCATCTCACTTCGAAAATAATTAGATTAGAAGCCAACATAAGTGGCGAGGACATTGCTAATTAATACCTGGTAATTACTTTTCTCGACTTCACATTTCCTAATGAGAATCATTGTCGTACTCTTAGACATTCTTCATAAAGTTTTTATTTGACTAATGATAACAAGTGAAGTCAGAAGCAAACAGTCCGATCGTTGTAACTAAGCAGTAGCGGAGATTATTCTTCACCTCGGAGAGAGAGAGAAATGGTGATTGAGGTGACAGTTTCACTAAACGTTATTCTAAGGCATATGAGATCGGAGAAAGCTTTTCACTCCAGTATTTTCCACTCTCAAACAGTTTTCAGTATGACATTACCATAATGTCAGTTATCCCTCTGCAGTTCCTAAACACACCCAGTCTATTTACTTTTCCGTCATAAGTAAATTTTAGGTTGGCTCCCAAGACGCGTATTATCTTTAAAGTGAACTGAACTGAAAATTAGGAAAATGACCAAAGCTATAGTTCTAACGGAAATGTGGTATTTTTCCCTCTCAATGATTTCTAGATCAAATGGATGTCCTGTAAACAAATTTCTTAATTTTGAGTGTTGTGTAACATGACATATTTTCAATTTGCTGGCTACATATGCCTCACAACACTCTCCTGCTTCACTGTTAAGTATAATGACCTCTATATGATTAACTTCAATTCAGAACTATGTTGTACTTAATGGGAAACTGACAAATAAAACCTAATGAGAGTATCGTGCGTCGGTGGCACAGTGGTTAGGACTCTCGCCGACCATGCATATGGTCCGGGTCCCCCCACCATTTGGCGAATTGGCATCAAAACATTCAAAAAAGTGGAATAAAAAAAAAAAAAAAAAAAAAAAATACTTCACACAGTGACCAGTGTGTCAGGCTGATACTTTAAAAATAATTTCAGCCGAGCCATAAATGACTTATTGGTTTTCTACAAATAAAGCATATGCTCTTATGAATTAGATTAGCTCTACTTCAAAGTGTCCCTAATTCTGTTTCTTTTTTCCAAATTTTAGACCACTCTGACTTGAACAACGCAACTCTTAATAAACGTATCCACCGAATTTTGACGTACGACTTTCCTCAATATTTCGCTTTAATCTCAAGATTTCGTCAAGAAGTGGCGTATATAGGTTCCGATGGCGGGCTGATTAGTTCCACTGTGGTACCACAAGTCCAAGCAGTATTTCCCCCCGGATCACTTCAAAAAAGGATAAAAGTCGGCCTACAAGTATGTGACTTATACTGCCTTATGCATTATTTTGTTTAAATTAACTAAAAATTGTAATTTAAAGTTCACATAACTATTTGCTTTATATTTTAGGCTCAACCTATTTCTTCTGATATCGTCAACCGTATGGCAGGTTGTCGTGTTTCCGTATCTCCCATTGTAACAATCGAACCTAGAAGACGGAAGTTTCATAAACCTATCACATTAACAATACCGGTTCCACGCACCACAAGCAAACCATGTCCAGACGCAGCTGCCGTTTCGTCGAAAATTCGGCTCCTCTGCAGTTTATCTGGTGGGACAAATCCTGCAGTATGGGAAGATATCACTGGATCTACACCGATGACGCGTCATAAAGACTGTGTGTCATTCACTACAACGGTTTCAGCAAGGTAAATAGACATTATTTCCCTGCGTTGCATGTAGATCAGATCAATAAATCTCTTTACAAATATCCGACGTTATATAAAACTAATTTTGTTGATGGATTCTTAAGCTTTTATAGCTTTGACTTTTTTGCACTACTTGTCCCCAGGAGCAATAGTAATGGCAAGCAGGAAACATTATACAAAACGTAACTAGTACCCATAAGTTCGCACTTATTAGGGGTTAAAATGAAAACAACTCAACATTTGATCACCGAGTAGGAACCTAGTTCCTCATGAATTACAACTTGTGTCAGTGAACCAAGAACCACACACACACCGAGCGAAATCACCATTTACAAACTAGTCAATTGCTTGTGAATGAATGACTACAAAATAGACTTCAAGGGTTCAGTGTGATGAGTAACTACTGTTGTGTAGCAGGTCACATGTGAGAACGAATACAAGCGTTGATAACAGTGGATAGTAGTAGCTTTATGTTGCCAAATTAGAGTTCATGAACCGTCAGGTTCCAACCCAGTTACTGAAAGATAGTGGAAGATGCTACGTTCAGCCTCCCCTACAACCATGGGTGTGCTGTGCTAATGAGCCTCAGACTACGGAGGGACAGCTTCCAATCCTATCTACTTTCAACAGTTCTCTAAATGATGTTGTTTTGTGGTTAAATTTACTTTAAAGTCAGTCGAACCTCCACAAACACAGAATCTGAAATGGCAGTTTTTGTCTCATTTATGTTTAACTGTTTCATAGAAATAAACTGAAAATGAAACATGTCTTGGGACCTTCCATTTCCAATTATCCGAATTTCATGAACACTTATAAAATCAGTAATTTGTGAACAATATACAAGTTAAAGTGTCAAGACATCTGATAACGGATTATCAACATGTCCTTGCGAATCCTAAAATAGAAATTACACAGAGAATTATATACGCTATGTAATCCTTTTTACCTATATTTATCTATTATTATTTATTTAATATTCAATAGTCTACTGATATAGGTTTATGGCATCAGTGTCCAGAAGCCAACAGTTATTTCATAATCGTAGTGATAATAAGAATGCTAACTTGACGTGCTGGTCATAATTATTCCCTCAGTAACACAACAATTTATGGACTCAACACGGTGATCAAATTATTTTCAAACTAAGAATTCTCCTTTCCTCTAAAATTTTTAGTCCAACTGCTACGTAGTAAACACTATTTGGAAAATCTGCTTGGAATCATTTTATTATTTTTGACAGTTGTAATATGCTTATAAGTTAGGCAAATGTAGATCCCCTAGATATACTATTCAACCTCTGTAATTTTTGAATCTCGATAATCTGTACACTCATAAAAATACTTATTTCAATAAATGAAATAAATCTTTTTAGTTTAATCTAGCGCACACTTAACATTGTTAAGAATTAAAATAGATCAGTTAAATGTCCAAGAAATGTCATTAATTTGGTAATATGTTGACGTTTCTACTTTATTTTTCATTTCTAAAACTAGATTGTGGTTGATAGATTGTCCCAATAATGTATCAGTAAAAGAGATGGCAACTCGAATTTATAGTGAAAGCATTGAACCACCGATTTTGGGTAGATTCGTTATATATGCCCGTCATTCAACCGATTTGAAAGCAGCAATCAAACCGGAAACACCGGAAACTCAATCAAGACATTTATCAAATGCACAGGACGTGCGCAGAAGTATCCCACTAGTAAGACGTTCGGCAACTGAATTCGCTCAAATTAGATGTATTTGCCTAACAGATGACACAGAAGATAAAACTTTGGAGTGTTTGGAACACTACTATCAAGTTGCGATTGGACCGTTTGTAGAGGTAAATAATTCAAACTAATTTTATTATAAATGCGATGGTTACTCAGTTAAACAGTGAGTCATTTTAATCAAGATATTGCACAAAGGTAAAGTCTCATGTTTCTGAGCAATAAACTGCGCAGGGAACAGCATCCATGTACTAAAATTCTATCACCGTTTTAAACCAAATTAAACTTATCTAATATCTGAGTCCAAACACATTTAAACTATGCAGTTATTTTTAAACCGTAAAGTCTGTTCATTTTTATATTGTTTTTGCGAGGGATTCGATTGTTTACAATATAAATTTCAGCACGAATAGATGTCACTTAGAAAATTAACACGCCCCAAAAGGGTGGGAAAAACTGCTATGTTATGCAATTAAGAACACATAAGTTAGCGAAGACACTTTTTTTCAGAAGAAAATAGCAATAGGGAACAGTTGTTTTCAGTGAATTCTTCTTCAGGCTGTACAATTACAAATCCATTTATTTTTAGGATACAGTACCCAGTAAAGACAGATCAGAATTATATCAGATAAATTGGGGAACAAGTGCAACATGGAATAATAATCAGTTACTTTTGATCATCCCTTAGAAAATGCATGGTCAACACGAATATGAGATAGAATTAGATGTTGCGCATGTATATTTATAGTCGACAAATGCACAGGTTTCAAAGGCAAGTGTAGTCAGTGATGTGTGTAGCAATATGAATTCTACAGAAAAAATATACCAAAAAATGGGATAGACTAGACGTAACTTCGAGGGGTGACAAATAACAACAATAATTAGGGTGAAATAATGACGTTGCTGTGGTGTAGTAAGTACTATTAGTGAACTAGCACTTGCTCCACAATACATTTGATATTATTCTAGCCTGTCTTTACTGGCTATTGTATGCTAAAAATTAACTGATTTATAATTGTACAGCCTCGAGAAGAATTCACTAAAACAACTGTTCATTCTTACTATATTTGTTCTAAATAAATGATGGGGATATTCAAGATCCCCTCTCATGACCTTACTTCAAAGCTGTACAGTTATTTAGTGGCTTGTACATATGATATGTATCACATATATATATTTATGTGTGTGTGTGCATGTTGGTCTCTCTTTCTGTTTGCTCGGTTAGTCTGTGACCACTTCACTTGTATGGACTTGTCTCCTTTAATAATGTGTATTCTCCTTATATTATTAATTATGAGTGTTTTTGACAGTCCGTTGCTTGGTGACATATATCCATATATGTTTGTTGGCATGTCTGCTATATTCGCTATGTATAATTGGATCGACACCATTATAATTAGCCATTCATGTTAAGACTGTCTAATGATTTTTCCCACGCTTCTGCATTATATATATTCGCATTCACAATTTGTGTGAACTACTTTTCTTACGACTACTTTACTTACTTACCACTTTGGTGTGAGACCATTTATTTTCGTCTCCTTGTGTTTGGACAATAGAAGTATCATCGCAACAGTGGTTTCTGATTTCCGCCTTCTCGCGTCAGGACTTTAGTTTCTCGACCAGTCCATAACAATAACATAGCGACGAGTACATAACAATTTGGCGACGGGGGAAACTAGAACTTAACAACATACTAATATAAATTTCCATATCATAGGTGTTACGAATTTTCTGGAATATGTTGATCTCCGAATCATTTTGAATCATTGTAAAATTATTATTTAATCCCAGAGTGTTTCGGAAATCAGAACAAGCTTTTTCTGAACGTTTTGTTGTGTAAACCACAGCTTCTTTGAAGGTCACTTATCAGTAAATATTTGTACCAATAGAAAAAATGATAATAGTCACCATATATTTGTAACGACTAATGTTAAACTGTCATATGTGTAAGTGTGTGTACGATGTTTGATGCATGGAAAACAAGTGAATTTTTATATGAAGATTATGATAATGTTTTCCGGAGGTCACCACATAGGAGTGAATAATTTTTCTATCTTTTTTTCTTCACTAAATTTTACGGTATAGATGATAGGTCTATTCCTTCGCTTCTATTTATCGATATGGTTAAATATGCCAGGTCTAAGAAACCGATCTTGCTTAAGTGAATGAAAGCTTTTTTCTAGTATTTTAACATCGTCCAAGTCGATATTGTATCTGCTTTCTATACCATGTGGCTTATCTATTTTTCACACTCTTTAGTCCCATTTCTACGCGGACGTTCGGTGCACAGACTATGTTCATTCACTCTAACCTTAACCTGTCTGCTACTTTCTCCAATATAGCAAGCCTCACATTCTGAACATTTTATCTAATTGACACAATTATTTTTGTGTCATTCTAGGAAATATATCTTTGACACTAAATAAAGCTTTCTTTAAAAAAAGTGGAGGACTTGCAATATACTTAAACAGCATGCGAAGCAAGTATCCTCTTAAGTTGTTTAGCCGTATCTTTTTTTTCCTTGTTTCCCTTTCTGTTGAAAAGAATGTTTAAAATGTTTTGAGGATAACCATTTTCAATCAGAATTTGTCTCAAATTGACGATCTCATTCTCCATACCATTGTTATCGGTTTTAGTGTTTCTAGATCTATTTATTATACTCAATGCTACGAAGACTTTTTATGCTTATTGGATGGTCAAAATGGAAATCCACATATTTGTTTGAAAGTGTCTGTTTCCTATACCTTGTAAATCTTAGTTCTCCATCATTTTATCTTTTGACAAGACCATCCAGAAAGTTTAGAGTACCCTCATACAATTCTTTTTCATTTGTAAACTTTATATAATTTGAAATACAATTTATCCATTTTAGAAAGTTTTCTTTTTCACAGCTCTAATATTTAAATTGACCGCATATTTGCACCATACCCTAGATTGACAGATGAAACCAGCCAGCTTTTTTCTTCCTAAAGCTTTCATGTGAAGATTTATTACATTTAGTGATGCTGGTGATCCCATTGCAACTCCATTTTTCTGACAGTATAGTGTGTCTTTAAAAGTAAAATATGTAGATTCTAAATGAAGTTTTGATAATGTCTTCCATGGATAATGAACGTTTAGTTTTTATTTCTGATTGTTTTCATGTTCCCATTTCGTGATATCAGGTGAATCACATATAAGAATACTAGTAAACAGAGAAATCACATCAAGACTTACGATAATTTCTCAAAAGTAATTTCCGTGACTCTTCTTTTAAATTTCACAATATTTTTCATGTTAGAAGGAATACTGTATTGAAGCCGTTTCAGTATTATATATATATATATATATATATATATATATATATATATATATATATATATATATATATATATATATATATATATCCCTCCACATCCAGGAACACCTCTCAGCCTGGCTGAACAAAGGAGAGCGTAAAGCCATTGATTCATCTATACTGCAGCGTATAGCAGATAATGATCACGCAGCATCTGGTGCATCCTTCAACATTCTTCAAGGTCCTACAAATTTTTCTGACATGAACACGAATGAACTTGCTTTGTGTAGCGGAAGCTTTACCAACATATAAAATAAAGCCTGAACTTTACGTACAGAAACAATTTGTGTGGTCTTCTTCGTCACCTCATAGTCTTCATTTTGTCATGTGATTCACACAAACTTCCTTGTACTTCTGTGATTCCATGTTCTAGTTCGGTTTTGTTTAATTCCACTTCACATTATTCTAACATTTTATTTATATCTTATTTTATTGGTGACACTTCACTCATCTTATTTTCGCATTTAATTTTATTTGAGTAACAAAGTCACAAATTCACATTTCCGAATGTACTTAATCATCCTATCATCTTTTTTACATATATATGTTATACTTTATGTTGACCTTTATTTACTTATTCATTTATACGTCGAATTAGCTTGTAGTTCATAATCATCTGCATCAATATTTATGGCACTTTGATATGTCCAGTCACTGTCAAACTTTAGCACCACAAAAATGGCTTGCTATTATGCATTTTAGTTCATACATAAATACGATCGTACGCTTAGTCTGTGGGGACAATATGTTGCTAGGCTATTCACAAATATATAGGAATAAGTGTATCTAAATACTAGTTTACTTATAATTCTTTGACTTTTGGGAATGTTTTAAACTGTCGGGCTACATATATATTTAAAAAAGGAATAGGTTGCGGTCTACTGAATGAAATAACGTCAATAAAGTACATGAAATTCCCTGTAATACTCGTCAGCAATCCTGTAAACTGAGTCTCGCTTTCTTTACGATTTTTTTCGAATATTTTAATAATATGCTTTAATTCTTCAACTTCCAATAAACTTACGTTACCCTTACCTATACATTTTCATTGAATCATTCTTATGAATAGTTAGTCTTTGAACAGATTTCATAGTTTCATCCACCTGCAGTAATTTTGATCACCCTACGTTATTTCCATTACAAACTTATACATCTACAACAACTTTATGAGTGTACGTTGTAAATTTTTTTTTTTATACAGGTAAAAATGTAGTGTTAATGTTGTATCACTTAATTGGTGATTACATATATAGATCAACAGAGGTGGTTTAGGTCCTGAAAACTAATCAATGGTTTAGAGTCAGTGGAGAAAAATAGATGTTTTCAAACTCTTTTCTACCGATTCTTCTTCCATTCATATCTACGAGAATAAGATAATTTATACTATTTAATAGTTCATTTCATCTTTAGGTGATAAAGGTTTTTCTGAACCTTCCATTTCGGTTCTTATTGCAATTCATTAGATACAACAAAACAAACCGGTCTGGATTGAAATGGTTGGAAATTTAGTACCAGTATTAAAATCTGGTGAACAGCTAAACTTTACCATCCGACCATTTTATGAAAATCGCATTACTTTTCCTGTTCGTCTCCGGGACATACCAGATCTGGAACCGGATATAAACATGGTCACTGGGAAAATTGCATTTATGCGTGAAGCACGTAATGTTCAAACCACAATAGATATGACAAATATACAACCACAACGTCCAATTACTGTGCTGGAGTTTAAATTACCTGGTCCAGACCAAACGTTAGTATTACCAACTAAAGGTGAGTATTAAAATATGAAATGTATGATTTTTAAGTTTATGGTCACTGTCTCGTCGTTGGTATTTCTTTTTCTCATTTCTACGAAAATATAAATCCATTCCTACTAAATTCTGTTGAATGAAAAGTAAAACATTCCAGAGAAGGAGACTAACTCTTTATATCTCACAAGGAATATTATTATAATGAAATATTTCTTAAACCCAAAACTAACCGATCAGTCTAATAGGTGAGATAAGTGCCTATGTATCCTTCAGTTAAACAAGTTTAGGAAACAGGAAATTAAATTAGGAATTCAGTAGAGCGTATATCACTTTGGCTTCGAAGTAACAGGTGAATAAATCTTTGTTACGACAATGGGTTATTCTTTTTTCTCTTACCACTTACTTTTAATCCTAAAAATTTATGTGCACTGATACTTCTGACAATATTTGCTTTAATTTCGACATACTAGTGTTGCTAATCTCACAAGTGAAATCCAGACTATGCATTAAATTTTATTTTTACCGGCAATTTTCTCTTTTCAAAATCGATGATAAATTAACTCTGATAGGCAGTTGCCATACTAAGATTTTAAAATTAGTTTATTATCACTTGTACAACAAATCCAAACAGTTACTAAGTTCTTGAAACTCCAACTGAATTCACTTAGTCAACTCCTCTATATCAAACCTTTTTGTGTGTTTATGCAGGTAGACAGAAATGCATGTTAAAGCTGATAAACGCGCTAACAGGTACTGTACTCTTTTCTGTGATGTAGATTGGCACTGCACTTCTCATTCTGGTAATTTGAGATAAACATAATCCTGCATTCTGTTACGAAGATTAATGGGTAATCCGCCTGGCTGTCTCGTAGGTTTGAAAGCTTCAAGGGGCATCCTTTATGCTTTTATACGTCTCCTTTATATAAGAATGAAACTTGTGCACTGTGGTAGAGTGTAATTCCATTATGGGTAAATTTTGTTTTGATAAAGTCTCACAGTGTTGTACAGTAATGTTTACTGATGGCGTTTCCAGCCAAACTTATTGCTCATAATCATAATCAGTAAACATTACTGTACAACACTGTGAGACTTTATCAAAACAAAATTTACCCATAATGGAATTACACTCCACCACAGTGCACAAGTTTTATTCTTATATTGTTTATACGTCTCTCAGACAATAGAATAATATGTATATGTGAAAATCACGCGATTAGTTTTCTTGATAAAATTGAATAACCTAATGATGACAACAACATCTGAAGGATACAATGAATTTAGCTTACACCCGGAAAAATAAAATGCATAAATAATCACTGCGATATCCCATTTTCGTACATTTTTAAATGGACATATAGTTTATTTTGGAAGAGCAGAATTAAAGACAAACACGATTTCCACATTATCAAGGAAATTGGAATGATCGAATTATCATTAAAGTATAGACATACTTGTACCGTATAAAGAGAAACATGTCCGAATTTATAGATGATTTGAGGTATGAATAAAATATTAGTTAAAACGGAAGTAGGTGAATGTCAACACCGAATTGGGACATAAAAAAGTGAAATGAAATTCCAGACAAGTTGAGTGAAGTAGCAATAAGTTAGTAACAGCCCAGTGTATCAACGTGTTATATTGTATCAGCTACGTGATGAAGCTGACTAAGTGAGGCGTAGATTCTTCGGCACGTGCATCGGTGGGATGGTGGTTAGGACTCTCGTCGACCGTCCACATGGTCCGAGGTTCGATCCCCTGCCGACGCACACCTGATATCTATGGTCGGCCTGCAAAATTTGAGCTACCAATATCCATGCTGAAAATTTCATACTAGTACCAAAAATACATTGTGGAATCAAGCTGTAATTAAAAATAAAATAAAATGCTGTTACATACTAAGCATGTCGTCGATTTGAGCTTTAAATGAATGAAAACCAACTAAGTGGACGAATATTCTAAGTAGGAAAAGACTTATAGTACTCTCTCTCTCTCTCTCTCTCTCTCTATATATATATATATATATATATATATATATATATATATATATACATATATTTTCCTCTGCTATATGACATATTCAAGCTTCTAAGTGTTGTATTTATTTCTAAAATGTGAAATTCACTAAATGACTTATCATTTGCCGTTTACTACAATTTATTTATATGGCCACATTGTATGACCACTAGCAAACAACACAAATATTTCTAAACATTCCTCATGATCACTTCCACCAAACCATAGCTGATATCAAAATCTGAAATGAATCTAGAAAAGTTTTTCATCGCTAAATATTCGAAAAAGTGTCATATGATTTTAAAAAGAACTTTTTCTGTAAGTCACTACTGATGCGAGAACTTGTGTCAGAATAACTTGTGTACTGTCCTGAAGAGTGTTTTTTTCGTCCAAATAAATAATACCACACAGCAATGCATTCAGAACATTTGTCTTAGCAGCCTTATAAATAAGTAGCAAAGTCATAACATTCAGCATTGAATTTCCTTTGTCCCCTATATTATTCATAGTGATATCTTCACTTCGGTTATCCATACAATGCCACCTCCATCAGATGAATACAGTTAGTTTTATCAACCCCTAATAGTGTCATTTACAAACCGAAGATGTTCAAAATATGTGTAAATTAAGAAGTTTCACAATATGCAACTATTAATAAGCGTTTTAGCACGGATGAGAGGTAACTAGTGTGGTTATACGGCTCAGCTAACTTCATAATATAAAGTCTTTTGGAAGCTGTGATATCTGATTTTTCTATTGTTTAAATTATTCTTCTAAAGAGCTCGACGTAATTGGACGTTCTGAATTGGATCACCAAAAGTTGGCCCTTGAAATTGGTAAAGACTGGAGACGACTGGCACCAGTTCTTGGATTTTCTGAACAAGATATCAAAATGATAGATAGGATTTCGCCAGATCTTCATTCAGCCACCAATGAATTTGATATTGAGAACCAACGAGCTGAAAATCTGCTTGCCCTATGGAAACATAGAGCAGCAGCATCAGGTCTAACAGACAAAGATGCGTTAGGTGAGTCATTAAGAGTGATGCTTTCTAAGGAAGTTTTACAATTACACACTTATTTTATGATTATTTATCTAGTGTGAATATATAACTGTAAAATCTGAACCGGAAACTATTGAAAGAAAAGTCTTTGTAATTTTACTGGATTCTTACCATTTTGTTTACCTGTTATGTACTATTATTATTCATTTTTCGACTCATTTGATAGACAGCGACTGTCTAGATTTAACTTACCCAATAAACGCACTTTTTATTCATTTATCTCAGAGGGCAGATGGATGATATTTCACATTTTTCCTACCCTTTAAATTTAAATTACAGTGGGAAAAATCCTTTCCGATGTTTTACATATGAATATGTAAATGTAATCTTATGATTAGTGTACTGAGTACCTATTCGGTAAGCTGATATATAAGTATATGGAAAAAACGAAGCAACACTTGAACATTTATAAATTATTAAATGCGATTGGATCAAAGAACTTAGCTCTCTGCGATGTCATATTCAGTTGGATCATCACTTTTTGTCGAAACTTGAATTAACTTCAATGTAGTTTTTGTCACGAACCAACATACGTTACAGATCATTGAAATAGCATTGGACAGTTGTCAAACATAGTTTTGGACTTTTCAGCAGTGTAAAAACTACAACCCCATCAGGGTTCAGGCCCGGGATAGTCAGATTAGGAGACCAATCTCGTTGACCATTCAGCCGCATTTCAGTGACCTATGAGTTCTAACACTGTCACTTCGTGATATAGCGCTACCCTTAACCAATGACTTTGATCAGTATTCACTTCACCTTCATATGGAGAAAAGTACGTTATGGTAACTATAAATTAATTATCTGAGTAAATCCCACTAGTGCATGAAATCCGTTGTGAAAAATGTGAAAAAGTAAGAAAATTCAGCTCTAGCAAAACATAAAACATCACAAATTCTTAAAATTAATAACATTGCTTCTAATAGTAATCTTAATATTCATACGAACTGTGATCAAGATTTGATCGGATAGTTGCAAATAATTGAGCGCTGAGTGAGAAGTAGACATTATAAAGTTATATTTAAAACAATTAGTCCCTTTGATAAATTTGAACAAGGCATTAAGAAGACAAATTTCGCGAGATGATATCATTTCGTAGTTTCTTTACAACCGCTTTACAACTAACATGGTTAACAATGATAAAATAAAGTTCATGAAATTTACTCAGTTAAATAAAAACAAAAGTACATACTAATGACCAATCATATTAAGATAGGTCATGCAGTCCAGGGTAGGCGAAGATTGAAGTCTATTGATTTTTGTACACACAGTTTAGGCTGTATGTGATTAATCCTCAGACTTTCAAAATTTGTCTGAGGTCAAAAAGTTTTTTGATCATAGTTCATACAATTTTTGTTTTGTTTTGTTTTGTTTAGCATACCTATTGATTGTACTTTTGTACTTTTGTATAAACATACAATTCTATTTATTTATTTATTTATGATACATATTGATACCTGTTGCATGATTCATGATTGGACAAGAATCTTAAAAACAAGATGTGTCCCTTTATATATAAACTTTGTTATGTTAATTTCGATTAATTTCCCTGAAGAAGTTCGGACCAGATTGCCGAGCGAAACGTTGGAGTTAATCATTTCAATTTCGCTGAGATTTTACAAATATAACTTTATAAAAGTAATCTTAATAGTTTATACCGTTTATTTTCCACAAAGTTTTACACTGATATAACACTTTCCAAAAGTTAGTCAGGAATATATTTTCAAGTGTTGGTTTGTAGGCATATAAGTGATTTCAAGGTAGACTTCTCCAGGAACCAACATCAGCCAGAGAACCATTGAAAACCAGGGAGCATTAACAGTAGTAACAATTATGTGATGCTATGTAAATACTTTGAGGAGAAAATCTATTTTATTGCACAGTGTTCTAAAAGATGCTGATCGTGCTTATTACCAAAGATTATTTTTCACTCTGACCTCCTCCTTTCATACATTTTACTTACAAATATTTACAACACATCATATACGGACAAACAAAGCATATACCTGTGATTCACGTGAGCAGTATCTCCTAATATTTAACAACTGAAGCCAATTGGAAATTGTGAAAGAAGCTGACTGTCCATATTTCCGTGAATGCCTTTCTGTTCCATCATGTATCTCTTTAATTCAGAGCACCTCTATAGTAATTTATTGTAATCGTAGTTTTAGTATTTCGAGATGACCGAATTACAAGAATCCAAACAAAACACAGAGAGGGCAGAATTCAGGAATTTGTATTTAGCGGAATTATTATGCAATTCATATAAGAAACACATTAACAATCAACAGTAAGTATTTAAACAATACAGAGATAGAAACTGTCAATCACCACAACCTCCGTTCTGAAAATGATCACTCTTCTGCTACATAAATTCTATATTATACGTTCTATATTTTTCTCTGTTTAAGTGAGAGATATAGTATTGTGAATAAATGTGAACCTTTATTCTAATAAACAATTACAACAATAGTTTGAAGAAAAAGTCTTTCTCTATTAAAATCATATACTGGAAAAATAACTTATGGGAAAACGACTGAAAGACAATAGTGACCAGTGAGTTGAGAGTTGGTACAAATTTCGTTTTTCCGCCCTCAATGATCACAAGTACACAATCGGATTCAACTGCGTTTTTGTCAATCTTTACTAAACATCTGACAGTAAGATGGATAGATGCGAAAGTAAAACGAAATCTTCCTTTATAAGTGTTTGCGGGTAATTAGTAACCACAATCAGAAATGCTTTCAGTAGTCTAAACTGTGTAAAATAGTAGTGATATATATATATATATATATATATATATTCGGTAACTACATTTTACTGCTCACTCCCATTATTATTGTCAGGCAATCATTTAGCTGACGCGCTCATTAAAATCAATCGATCTGATACTATTCATCCAAGTATGACTGAAATACGTACAGTAACAGCAGAGGAAGAAATAGCCACAGCAAACGGGATCCTGGAGAAACGAACCACTTTGCCTGTAGTTGTTGAAGAAACTGTTTCTCATGCCAAACTATCCAAGATAACTACTCATGCAGGGTATGAAACACCAGATTTTTCAGCAGGTAGGTTCAACACTTAAATTTAATCTGCTAATGATAGGCTATTCACGTAAATGGTAGCTGCATTTTTTCTAATGATGATTAGTTTTCTGTCAGTTGCTGCAGTCCTTCGTACAGAATAGCCCAAAAAAGCACAGGCTTTAGTGAACTGATGAAATATGCATACTAGATATTTACAGTCTTATGATAGTTCATACGACATAAAAATAAACCTGTTTACTAAAGTACGAATGAAAGCGTTGCCTGAGTTGGTTAGTTCTCCACAAATAAGGTTCAGTATATATTATTATTTATTATTATTATTGTATCCTTTAGTTCCTAGAGGAACATAGGGCTTCAGCTGCGCACCTCCATTGACTTCGGTTTTCTGACAACTTTTTCACCCTGCTCCAGGTCTGTCCACATGCTTTCATCTCCTCCTCGCATGACCTCCTCCAAGTCACCCTTGGACGACCAACTCGCCGCCTCCCTTTCGGGTTCCACTCGAGGGCTTGTCTAGTGATGTCACTTGATGGTTTCCTCAGCGTATGGCCAATCCATCTCCATTTCTTTCTGCCTATTTGTTTCACAATCGGTTCCTGATTGGTTCGCTCCCAGAGATCCCTGTTGCTGATCTTTTCTGGCCATCTGATCTTGAGTGTATTGAGCGGAGACAGTTGTTAATGAAGGTTTGAAGTTTGTTTGAGATGCTCTTTATGACTCGCCAAGTCTCTGATCCGTATAGTAGCACTGACTTCACATTGGAGTTGAAAATCCGGATCTTATTTTTGATGCTGAGTGCTGTTGACCTCCACACAGATTTGAGAGTAATGAAAGCTTGTCTTGCTTTTCCGATTCTGGCTTTGATGTCCTCGTCAGTTCCGCCTGTAGTTGAGACGATGCTTCCCAGGTAGGTGAAGGAGGTTGTTTCTTTCAGGTTCTTCCCATTTATGCTTATTGTGGTCTGTTGGTGTTGTTGATGTTGGCTAGGAATCTTCATTATCTCTGTTTTATCTATGTTCACGTGAAGTCCTATCTTTGATGCTTCTTCTGCCAACTTGTTACTTTTCACTTGCATATCTTCCAGTTTATGGGAAATCAGACATATATCATCGGCGAAATCCAGATCCTCCAAGTCTTTTGTGTCAGTCCATTTTATGCCTGTTCCCTCGTTGGTTGCCGTTGTCTGTCGCATTATCCAATCAATTGCAATCAGGAAGATCATTGGTGATAGTAGACAGCCTTGCCTCACTCCCGTCCTCACTTCGAAGGCTTCCGTAAGTTTCCCGTTGTGGATTACTTGGCATGCAGCATTGTCGTATAACTGTTGGATGAGGTGTATAATTGTCGATGGGACCCCGTAGTAGCGAAGTAGTTTCCAAATGACCTCTCGATCGACGCTGTCGAAGGCCTTTTCAAAGTCGATGAAGTTGAGATAGAGAGGTGACTGCCATTCCAAGCTTTGTTCAATGATGATCCGTAGAGTGGCGATTTGATCAATACATGATTTGTTTCTCCTGAATCCAGCCTGTTCCGGACGAAGTTTTTCATCTAGGGCTTGTTTGATTCTCTCCAGGATGATGCGACTTAGTATCTTGCTTGGAATGGACAGAAGCATAATTCCACGCCAGTTTTTACATTGACTTAAGTCTCCTTTCTTTGGAAGTTTGAATAAGTAACTGTTCTTCCAATCCTCGGGTACTTTGCCCTCTTTCCACACCTTCTCCAGCAGTGGTGTCATCAAGTCCGCTGTTGTCTCTGGGTCTATTTTCAAAGCCTCTGCTGGGATTCCATCTGGTCCCGGTGTTTTCCCAGCTTTAAGCATCTTGATTGCATTCAGGACTTCTGATTTCGTCGGGGGGTCAGTGTTCACTGGTAGTTCTGCTTCCGTTGTTGGTATTGCTGGACGTGTTGTAGGTTCAATATATATATATATATATATATATATATATATATATATATATATATATATATATATATATATATATATATATATATATATATATATGGCTTTTAAAAAACTATATCCCGTGAAGAAAGTTAAAGGTGTTAATACATAAAATAATAATATTTCGAAATGCAATTAACGTGTCTGTAATTATAATCACTGTTATCAGTGATTTGTCAGTATTCACTTTTAAATGATGTCAGTTATCACTTTCAATATCTTGCGAGAACACCCTTTATGAAAATGAATTGTCTCTAGCTTCCTTAATCTGGTTTCGAATGAAAAACTTAACATTGACTAGATTAAACATTCTTGATATATATATATATATATATATATATATAGTATTTTCTTTTGCTTCTATAATTTCAAAATTAACTTCTCATCTATGCTTGTTATTTGAGAATTATCTTCAGGAGCAGTTTAATTAAATAAGAATACAAGTAGCTATCGAAGTGTCTTACCCGTTTAGTTGCAAACATAGAACTATACGTTTTATATTAGATAAGTTTATTTTATGTAAAACACAGTGATACAGTATTAATCATTGGATGATGTGTCCAGCACAACTTATAACTAATTATGATATCATTGTATTCAGACAACTTTAAAATCTCCTCTACGTAGTCCCACCTCTCGCTGCTTTTGTGGCAATTTTTCATTTATGCGGCATAGGCATTGTGTCATTCTGATTGCGTGTGTTTGACACGGATTCGATGAAACATATTACTTTTTAAAATTCTTACTGTATTGTGTGATTACATGCAATTCCATGTATTGTAATGATTGAGTTTTATTCTAAATTTTTAAACTTAGGAAGGTCAGTCATTCCAGATCTATCTAAACTTCTGTTCCAATAATTCATTTGACCCCGATCTACTACTTCGACGTACGTATTTGACGTTACAGTCATTGCATGTGAAAATTCCAGTAAATTACGGTAAAAAAGCTTAGTTAACAATCTCGTAAATGAAACCTATTCGCCGTAGTTTTTATAAGATTGTTTTCTCAGAGGGTAGAAACCTTTCACGCTTAAGATGTGCGTCGGTGGCACAGTGGTTAGGATTCTCGCCGACCATGCACATGGTCCGAGGTTAGATCTCCTGACGACGAACACCTGATATCTATGGTCCCCCTGCAAAACTTGGGCTACCTATATCCATGCTGAAAATTCCATACTTGCACCAAAAATGCAGTGTGGGATCAAGCTGTAAATCAAAATAAAAAAAGATATCGAGACAAGCTACAAGTAATCTAATTAAATCACATACAGATGCCTAATTTGTTTCTGGTGTTTTTAAGATGTTTATTCAGATGATTTTGGGTTTAGTCCTCCAGTAATTACATCATCTCAAGAATGGTGGAAAATAACTTGCCTGTCTTATAGATAACTAAGCTGCATAGTTTATCGTGTCAGTCATTCACACTGGATACATGAAAGTGCCATAAAACGCCATAAATATTCCATATACCTCACTTAAATATACATTTGTGGTGAGAGCAGCCTGCCAGCCAATTGGTTGACATTATTCTACGTCAATGTCTAGGTCACTAATATGGTCCGTGAGCAAATATGAACAAGGCTGTTTCAACAACCAATCACAGCAATCTTAAACGTGGGCGAATATGATTCGCAGATAGATGGCTCCACTTTCCGAGGAACTCAAAGACATTCAATCAGAAGACCGCGTTTGTCTACTTGACTAGGCTATAATAATGTATGTGAAATTTATATAAATAGGTGTTGATTTCCGTAATAAAACGATCTGTTGCCTGGCCCTTGTCTTCTGTTGTTACACTTTGACTTCTAAATTTATTGGTTACTTAATCTGTTATTCATTCTGTATTTTTCTAAAACTTTTTTCTTACATCAGATATGAAAAACCAGGAAGTCAAAGATATTAGAGAACAAGAAACAGAGGCTGTTTTGTCTTGGTCTGAGAATGCATTTCTTTCATCCGATGAGGGTGTTTCAACAATTTCGGTTTCTGGTACAACAGATGGCATTCAAAAACCAGAAGGTAAAATAAGTAACTAAAACGCTTAGTAATTAATTTCTGGTAGTGTTGGTGAATGCGTCAACTCATAGTGTAGATGGATTAGTGATCCAGAAGTCACTTTGATAAGTATTTTCAAAATAAATGAATGAATCACATTGAAAGTGTGCAACAGGATTCAAAAATGTGATGATTAATTTATTTCAGTGATGAAACATTTTAGCGTGCTTTGGTAGCCTGGCTACATAATATTTATTGTCACTTGTGGATGTATCAAACTTGAGCCATCAATAGCAGTCAACTTGTAATCAATTTAATGGAAAGTAGAGATGAAAACTCTGAGAATCAATTAGAAGTATGTGATTCTTATTTTTCTTATACGATAGTCGCATTCAAAACGAATCGACGTCATTCTGAAGAAAGATGAAGAAGTTGCAGTATATAAGCAAGCTGAGATTTTGTGGATTCTCGTTTAACAACACTTTGGGTATTAGGATTAAATAGAAAGAACTCCGGTAAAACTAATGTCAGCTCATGATGAAATCCTGTAATCAATCAAATCCCTACAAACCAACACATGAATATTGTTTTCATTCATAGAGAATAAGAAAAGTTTTATAATAGGGAAATTAAAGCTAAAGTGAAACGCGGAGGGTAATTTAAACTAATATATGGAGCTATGCTATACAATCAAAATGAATTTATTGAAGGACTACTCCTAAATACATAAAGCTGACTTACACACTGAATGGCTAAGGCTTTGTGTTACTTTAGATGATGTTAATTAGTTAAAAGAATATGTGGAAACTAAAATGTTTCATGAATGAGGAACTTCCAGTCTTTCTCTGTCTTTACCTACACATGATCTTTTATTGGAGAGGTAGGTAAATCCATTCCATTTCAATGGATATAGTTGAATGTAAATTTATCACTATTTACACGTTACAAGTATTTAAATAAGTATGCGGGATTAGTATTTTCGTTATTCCGATAAGCATTTTTTCCCAAGTCTTCACAATGACTTTGCTTAACAAACAAACTATGACAGTGAATCATGTATTGAAATTTGATAAATGCTTTTTTCAACTGAAGAATAACACAGTAATCTGCAATGTTGCAGCTGTTTTATTCAGCCTGTTAAATTTTAAGGAACCGTCATTTCCAATCAGTGCTTCGGCCAACATTCTTGTCTCTTCTTTTACAATGTGATCCATGTATACCTTCTAGTCTCTTAAGTAAACTCTCACCTAAAGCCCTGTTACACGAATTAAAGCAGAAACTATGACAATATAAATGTTATTCTGTCAGTAGATAGATAATTTAAATCATACATTTTTCTCCCATATTAATTTGTTTATTTGATATATCATAGTCAAACAATACTATTTACTGGATAACGTTACAAACACAACTGTTCATAATCATATCAGTTATCATCCAGAAAATAATACTATGATGCATCTAATAAACAGATTAATAAGGAATTACATACTACCACAGTCTCCAAGTTCTACACATGTATTAACGTAAACGTTTTCTATTTCAAGCTCATCTTTATTCACTGATATCCTTAAAAGAAGTAGTAGAACCACAGCTATAACATGTAGCCAGGAAAGCGTTGGTGGCACAGTGGTTAGGATTCTCGCCGACCATGCACATGGTCCGAGGTTAGATCTCCTGACGACGAACACCTGATATCTATGGTCGCCCTGCAAAACTTGGGCTACCGATATCTATGCTGAAAATTCCATACTTGTACCAAAATTACAGTGTGGATTCAAGCTGTAGTCAAAAATAAATTTTAAAAAATCATCGTATCTTCTAAAGGAGCTTATTTTTTAAACACATTCTCAATATACTCAGTGTCCTGTAAAAAACGTCATGCTGTTTATAATAAAAGATACTAATCCTATGGGAATAATGATATCTAGTATAAACAATTAATTGTCAAATCGCCCAAATTTTGACTCAGAATGAAACCATATGATTAAAACGATTAGTTCTTTTGGTAAATTTGAATAAGACATTTAAAAGAAAAATTTCATGAGATATCATTTTGCAGTTTCTTTACAATCGCTTTACAACTAACATGGCTCACAATAATAAAATAAAATGCATTACTCAGTTATATAAAACAAAGGTACATCTTAATGACCAGTCATAATTAAATAGATCAAGTAGTCCGTTATAAGAGAAGATTCGAGTCTATTGTTTTTTGTACTCATAGTTTAGGTTTTATGTGACTAATCCAAAATGCTTCTATCACCTTTAATGACCAACTTTGAATTAGGCTTATGTGAAATAATTGTGAAGCAATCATTAATATTGATTATGTGACCTGAAATTAATGAGTGCTTTGCAATGGATGATGATGGATTCCTATTCAAATTAACTGCATTGGGATTTTCTGTGTTTTAATAACCATTTTGGATCATGTTCTTTTTGAAGACATTGGAACATTCTATAGGTTCTACCTATATAGGTATCACTGCAACTGCAGGTGAACTTGTAGATACAGTTTGATGTAGATTCCACAGAGTTTCGTCCTTGAATCGTAGGTACAGGTATGGGAAATTTTCAAGATGTGAGGGAAAGAGACGCGGCGTAGAATTCGGGCTTGATGGCTGACCGAAGTCTTTGAGCTGTCAACTACATAATTTGATCATCCTTGAATGGGAGGTTAATAAAGATAGCTTTCTTTGGTACAGAAGCTGTCTTTTCAAAATATGGTCTATCCTTACTGTGACAATCGATATAGTTTCCTGGATAACCATTAGTCAATAAAACTGAATATATGTGTCAACGCTCATCCATCAACGTGTTGCTTGTGGGTATCTTGCGGGCCATTGAAAAAAATTTCATTCGGGAACGTTTATACTGGATAAGGAACAAGATTGGTGAAGTGAAGTTATTGTCCACTCCATGTCTGCTTACGAAATATAAATGTGATGGGTAGTGAATCTGTATAAGCTTCTCAGTGTGCGTCGGTGGCATAGCGGTTTGGGCGCTCGCCGAACATGCACATGGTCCGGGCTCCGATCCCCGGCCGACGCACTCCTTCGCCTCTCTCAGCAAGAAGTAAAGCTGATGAAGAAGAAAGGTTAGGCATGAGGCTAGAAACTCCATCCTGTAAAAATAAACACTGTTACAGAAGCTTCAAACCTCCTGCTTGAAGCCCTATGTTCAACTGGAAACGTGAAGGAAAAAAAATGAATAAGTTCCTCAGATTGACCATGCAGCCTACATCTACCACTCTTAAGTAACTATTCAAGTCTTCACATATGTCATATAAACTGTTAAATTACATGGATATAAAAAATAAGCTTGTACAAATATCGAATTCCGGTAATACTTCTTCTGACGGTGAAGTCAGAGCTTCCTCATGAAAATTCTGGAGTTAACACATCTCTGAAAAATCATTACAGTTTAAATAGTGACTTACTCCTCATCAATGCATATCAGACTTTTTATGCTTACCACAATGGTGAACACATGAAATGATGCACACTCTGGTAAGTCTCTTGCGCTGAAAATGATGAAACAATTCATTCAAACATTAATGGGCTATGTTATTTTATTTCACACAACACAGACTGAACGACTCAATCTAGCACTGTGAGATCCTAAACACTAGAACATGTTTAGGTTTATTTTAGTAGCAAGATAAACCTTTATCCTAGTGTGTTCCTACTGAAATCCGGAAACATAATTCATCGTTTCAAAATTGGTAGAATGACAGTAATTGTATCACACAAGACTCTAGAATTATACAATAGGTCAGAAAAGTAGTGCAAAACAACCTTTTAGTTATATTCAGTTAAAAAGAAGAGATTAGATAATTCACTCGTTTCACGTACTATGTTTACTAAAAAGAGTGACTTTCAAAGAGAATGCACCTAAACAAGCCAAGAAGAAGAAACGTTAAATCCTTTTTCCCTTTTCCGTTTTGCATTTTGTCAAACAGCAACTTTTTCTCAGCCTCTATGCCAGGCTGAAGTAACAGACCAAGAAAAACTCCCCCTCAATATGAAAACGCTTCCAACCACTTCGACGTCAGTGGTTCGCCAGGCTGGAACCATTGAAGCTGGCATCTTACCTGAAATGAAACCAGAACTTGGAGGAAGAACACCGGAGTACAATAAAGATGTCTCCCGTGCAAAAACACTTGTTAATTGGCAAGAGGCTTTGTTAGCTCAATTAGAATCAGTCGGTATTCGCATGGAACCGTTAACTAAGCCGAGTCAAGTAGCAGTGCAGGAAAATGAAGGAGCAGTTGACACCATGGAAGAAGTTTTCATAAAGCCAATAAGTCAACGTGTTGACCAAAAGTTTCTTCCAAAAGACAGAAATGAGATAGAGTATTCTGTACAGGAGTTGGTTGAAGCACTTGGAAAACAAGTTGACGATGTAGCTTCAGGTAAACAAACTTTTTTTCGTGACTTTAATGGTATTATGAAAAATATCTATTTAAAACATATTAGTTTATTCTATTTATGTATTTATGAGCTCGTATACTAGGTTAACTGTTGAGATAATATACCTGTGTCTTCTATTTGTGTTCTTTTTTGGCCTTCATTGAATTTTGTTTATAAGATGTCCGCCGATTTACATTTATATCACTTCTGATACTTTTTTGTACAAGATAAGTAAAACACAATTAATTAAGTCCTTCTCTTGAGTGGTTATTTTTGTCATTTGAATTGAAATTCTTGTACAAGTAAGATAGTGTTCCTTGCTGTACTTGATGTATGTTGTTTTGATTATTATCAGTTCTCAGTGATTGATATTACTTGGAAATCCAGGCATTTCCCCCTACAAGGGAAACATTTGAAGATGGTGATTTTAACTATTGAAATGACTTATAGGTTATCTTAAAAATCGAGTCTGACGTGTCCTGAATTTTTAATTAAAATACAATGTATTGATGTTAAGAAAAATTCCCCTCTTGATTAAGACTGTAACTAATCACACTTTGCAAACCAACACTTGAGAAAAACTGCTCACACCTTCGTGTTAAAACTCCTTTATATAGGTTAATGAGATTGTAACATGCTGAGTTGCTGAGTCACCTATTATTTTATGATGGCTTTAAAGGCCCAACAACCACACAGTGTTACGGAAAAGAAAGTCTTCTCCTTCACCAAACCAGAAGCTAATCAGTCGTCGCTGTTATAAATGAGTACCTTTTCTGCAAGTAATTAGGTAGAAATTTTTACTTATCATAGGTGTACGTATGGTGCTGAGACACAGACAGTATGTTTCAACGGAATATTATTTTCATATATTCCCATAGTTGCATTAGTGACAGGATAATATATTTATTTGAACATTCTGTTTCATGTCGTTTAATGTAAACCAAAATCACATGCTCAGGGATTGTTTAGAGAATATAAACTATATATATATATATATATATATATAAACAGCGGTTTGATCAATGGGAATTTGAAGGTTATTTGAAGTAGATAGTGGTCTTAGCTCACATTTGCTCCCTCTCTCGATTTTGTGTGCAGAAGACTACGTCTCCACTCTCTTGAAATTGGGATGAAGTCTGTCTGAATTTCAGTGTGTCCGTCAGGTGAAATCCAAGTTGCCTTGCGTGTGTTTTTACTTGTACACACTGCTTCCGGCCACCAGACCATTGGGTACGCAGAAGTTTGCAAGAGCTCCTTCGTCTTCATTCATTTCGTCCACAGCCTGTCGATCCATGATGAGTTCTGTTCCTGTGTTTTCCTACAAGGCTTTGGATATCGCCTTTCGAGATGTTGTCCATTACTGTTTGCTGTTGTATATACATATCTTCTCTCTTCTCTTGTTCCACGTTATTTGTAGCACTGTGCGTAGCATTGGATAATTGTGAGTTGAATCTTGCTGTCATGATCCTCGATGAAATTAGTTCCCACTGCATGGGCGCTTTGGTGCTGTTGGTGATATCATAATAGCCACTCACTCACTGTGCTCGTGTTTGTATTCTGGGTGACTGGAGTAGATTACCGAATGTCCGGTTAACACCCGTTCGATCTGCTCTCACAGATTCCTAATACTTCTGTATCATATCTTCTCTTTTCTTCGGCAAACTGCGCAGATTTTTCAGTCTGGTACACTGTGCGGACACTCCAGGTCTGAATTCTTATTTTTGCTATCATCGAAAGAAGACACATCGGCTAACTGGATTTCCGAAGTCTTTCAATACCCTGTATCATCCTGTCTCACTGATTTCAGCGGAGAATTAGTTTGGTTTTTGTATTTTCCTTATGCTTTGATGATTCTGTAGCCGTCTGACTGGTTTCTCGGGGTAGAGTCACCAGTCCTACACCCAGCTTTCCCTATTTCCTCGGGTATTAGAGCGTCTAGAAAACTTGCGAGCTGGTTAACCAGGTGACGTTACAGGGGACATATTGATAATTGCAGTAGAAAAAAAGAGGAGAAAATGTTTATAAATCTAGTTATGATACTGTGTGAATACACTGAAATGAATATAAGCAGTTAACTGTGCATGAAACGTCACCCAGTTAATAATACTACATCACCATGTGTTATTTTGAATAAATTTATCAAATATGGAATCCGAAAATTCACTGCCTACTTAATTCGCTAACTTCTGTTATTTTTGAAGGAATTCGTTCTAATGTGGGAAGTAAATGAAGTCTTTTGACTTGTTTTGGTTTTGAAATAGTCATAGGCATTTGAATGCATTTAAAAATGTTATAACTAAGTATCATTTACTAACACTTCCGTTGCACAATTAACTAAGTATTTTTAAAGCCTTTGCCATGAATTTCAATAGCGAGAATAGTGGTACTGAAAAGTAAAAGGCTGCACATCATCGTCATTTCTTAGATAAATCATTAGTAATAATCTGGGATCTATGAAAGTCGTATTCATATAGTAATAATAGAACCCATACACACCTTCAGTTTCAACGAAAGTGACTGGCTTTTTATCTCATAATGCGTAATTACACATAGTTAGGAATGTTCAAGATAACCAATTTGCTTAACGTTTAAACTGATCATTATTACGTGTATGTATGTAAATCCTTACTAATCTGTCTTTCATATATAAAACTTTTGAATAGTGTTATTAGAAGACCGAGATTATCTGAAAAATGTGATGTATTTGCGCTACACATTTCGAACAATCTGATCACATATTTACTCGTCAAAATTAAGGGCAATTAAACTAAACAAAGTGGCAAAAAGGATTTTTTAAAACCAAGAATAAGTAAAACGACGTTTGGTAATCCTATCAAATAATGATTACCAAGGTAATTTAATCAAGGTAGGTTAAGAGTAATAATAAACTGTTTTTGAAAACACGGATCGGGGATGCTTAAGTTTATGAATAGCTATAACCTCAGCGTATTTCAATAAGCGCACTTGACCATTATTATGGATGACCTTATAGGCTGTGTTGACATCGATCTTATTGTTCATCTTGATTAGATGTTTAGCTATAGACAAAGTTGGTAGTCTGACATCTGCAATTAATTTGTTTTTCTAACCATTTCGGGATATGCTCTCGCACCCTTGCAAATACATCACATTTTTCAGATAATCTCCGTTTTCTGATAACACTATCCAAATTTACAAAAGGGACTAATTGTTTTAAATATCACACAGTGAAACAGTATTATTTACTGGATGATGTTTTGAAAAACATCTGTTGTTCATAATTACATTAATTATAACTACACAGCTTTGGAGCTTGATTTTTATAGTTCTCCATCCTTCTTCTGATGCGGTATAGGGTTAGTAGAAATTTCCACATGTCTGGGAGAGGTGTTGATACATTTCTATTGCACGTATTCTCAGTGTATACGGGTTCTCCTATCAGTCTTTCCCACCATCCTGTTATATTAGATGATAAGATAGTCATCTTATCCCATCGTATTGTATGGTTGTATGTAGTTGGATGTAGTACTACAGATGAACTATTTCTCAGATTTCTTTTCTAATTAGGGCCCATGTATTTAACTTCACAACCATTGCAGGGTGTTAGACAAATTTGTTTAATGGGTTTCAAAAAGATCCTTCAATCGACACAACTTGTTTCTTAGTGAGTTTGTGAGTTTGAATGCCACTTTTATCTCTGGTTCTTTTAAGAATTGCACGGAAAATTCTTGTCATTTAATTAAGAACACATAAGTCAGCAAAGAAATGTCTTTATACAACCTCACTTCACAGCTGTGCACTTCATATATATATATAAGTCGATGATCATTGTCACTTAGTAACAAAATAAATCAAGAGGGCTGACAATTTATTAGTTCAGTGATGAACAATCAGAACAGAAGCAATTAGAGATAACTACTGTTTTCAATAAACTGCTCTTCAGGCTGTATTCTCCATTATATCTAAGACTAAACTTGCAGTTTGAAATGAAGTCATTTACGTCCACAGAAACGGAAGTAAATGTTTGTGCAGAATAAATTCAGACCATTATTTATCTCATTGGTTCTTCTTCAGCTGCATACAGCTCTGTTAAACAAGAATCATGTAATTCCTGTAGGTTATACTTAGCTAAAGAGATACCGAGAAAATAAATTATGGTCTCACCTTATTCTGCACAAACATTTGTTTTTGCTTTATTTAAAGACATTAAAAAATTTCCAAAAATCAACTTTGGGTCTTATGGGATATAGTACCTTGTGATTTTTAACAACACTATACATCCTTGTCAGGCTATTAGTTTCGGGCATCAAACTAAACTATTCAGACTCAACCATAAACAGATTCTTTTGGCTTATAAGATCCATTGTAGATCTCTTAACTGTACCTATAAGTGTCTATTGGCTTCCTAATTTCTTCACAAGGTACTGTTTCTATTTGAGTATTAACCTTGGCTAAATAGTTTAATTTGTCTGTTACCATTGCCGAGTTGTCTCTAGCTAACTTGGTAGTTATTATATTCTTCTACTTAAGGCTACTAAGGGCTTCTATTTGCGGTTTCGTCAAGTTTTAGTTTTTCCTCTTTTTTGTTATCTTAGTGTCAGCGCACATTGTATTCATACTTCATATAAAGTTCTTTAATTTATCCTATTTTTTCCTTTACGTTCCCAGTGGAACATAGGGCTTCGAGCTAGAGGCTTGAAGTTACTGGAGCAGTGCTTATTTTTACAGGATGGAGTTTCTAGCTTCATGCCTAACCTTTCCTCTTTACAAATTTTTATCTCTGGCTTAGTGAGGTGAAGGAGCGCACCGGCCGGTAATCGAACCCCGGACCATTTGCACGGCCGGCGAGCGCCCAAACCGCTATGTCACCGACGCACCTATCCTATTTAGTGCTATTTATATTATTGGGATGACATCCTCAGGTTTCAGCTTATCTGCCACTCTGCTGAAATCTAGTCGTATTTTTAATATACTTATTTCTGTCCATCTAAACACTTGTGTTGAGAGATTGGTAACCTACTTTGATTGATCGATCGTCGATGACTTTATATTGCTGGTTTCACTTTTCAAAAATAGAGGCTTCTCTTTTAATAATTGGTTGCATTTTTTGAATGCTGTTATTTTAGTACTGTTAAAAGACTTAATTATGCGGTCATAATACTTGTCAATAAATGTCAACATTAATCAGATTTTTCACTGATTGATTTCATTTCTGATACTGTATAGCCTTTTCACTATTCTGTAGATTTCTTTTAATCATTTTTTAGTCTCTCTACTTCTGCTGTAAACTTGTCAGTCGGGATTGGAGTTTGCGGACATAGTAGTCCAGGGCAGGCAATGCTTGAAATCTATTGGTTTCTGTGCACACAGCTTATACATATGCACACAAACGTCTAGATTACCCAAGTAGGAAAGGGTGAATTGGTTTAAGTTTACCTAGGTTAATGGAGAGGTAGAGACAGAACAAACCCCTCTGGAACACACAGACAAAGGTTGTACTCCTGAATTCCCGTAGCTTTGGTTGTGCGAGAAACAAGTTCTGAAAGTTCAACACACTTCGGTGAATAATCGCAAAAGAGATTCTTCTGTCCACTTGGACACCTTTAACAGTCAAATGAGAGAAAATTCAAGTGCCTATTGATTTTCTATGACTTTAACCTAGCCACAAAGGAAGTTACTGTAAAGAAGCAGCTACATTTATAGGTTCACATAAAAGTGGCATAGCTAGGTAATTATCATACATCTAGATGATGGAGATTGGTCGGCTAGATAATCATAAACGAAAAGTCATAAACAGCAAGTCATCTCGATCAACATATTTTTGATGTGGACTAATTCACTATCTAGTGTCTCAGCGGAGCAGCTCCTTTTCACCCCACTTGTCAGATATTTGATCAGATTCAATCACCGTGTGTTACTTTCATCGATTCAACTATTTATATTTTTCCCACTGATATTATCATTACTCATAAAATTTACAGTACATAATCTTTGTCACTAACGCCGAAATCAACATTATTGGTTAAAATTTCACATGTGTGATGTCTGTAACAATACGATTTTATATCTTTTTGTTAGATATTAAAATAAGAAACACTGTACACAACTTCTGTTTAAATTGATTCATGTAACTGTGAAGTACAATCTAAAATACAGTGTGCAGCTCGAAAAAAATCAGAAGGCTGCGTGTTTGAATCATGTCAGGTTCATCAATTGATTTATAGGGGACTTTATAGCGAACTCGGTAATAAAACATATTTTGGAATACAAATCAACATGAATAAAATGAAAGTGTAACAGTATATTATAAACAATACACTAATGAGTTACATAAAATATTTGGTTACTTGGTTATACAGCTAAAGTCCGCTGCTACAAATTACTAATGTAGTCTACAATGGTGTTCTGTGCTGAAGTCATGTCTACTGGTAGCAGCTGTTCATCAGTTGTAGAATAGTCTTCCGATGAGGATAAGAGGTTCCTGCCAAATCTAAAGTATACAACACAGTTAGTAGTGAAATAAGTAAACAATATAGACTAGTGAGAAGACGAAGCGGCGAGGAGAACATTGTATTTTTGATTGTACTCCGCAGTTATGCATAATTCAACATGAACAAAATTTGTGTACAATGTTTCTAATTTTAACATCTAACAAAAAAATCTACAGTCGTATTGTTACAGACTCCACACACCTACTTAAAGCTTTGTATACTAGTAAAGTATGGAGAAGATACAAGGCAAAGCCATATTTGTTATAATCTTTATGTCTGGAAGTTGAACGATAAAAAAGGACACGTTATTTCTCTGAAAGATAAAACTATTTTCAGTTAGTTTCTTTGTGAGCAGTTTCTATGGTATCAATTTGTTTATTGTAGTGGAGCAAATACCAGTGAGTGATTCGGCTGCAATAACAGAAGACATAATTGAACCGGTCACATATGATCGTGAAAATAGAATCGCATCATTGGCGGTAGAACATTCAGTTCTATCTCACTCACCGGCTGTATCTACTGCAGACATTCCAATGAACGATACGGAAATGAATAAATTTGGCACTTCAGTTTCTCATATTACACAGGGGTCACCTACTAAAAGATATATGCCGCATGACGACTTACAATCACATGACAGTACTAATGAATTACAAAAAACGGATGAATATCTTGAAGAACAACCATCATCTGCAACTGTAAGAAAAGGTAGGTAGCTTAAAAATTTCGAATTGTCTCAGCATGTATTTAAATGTTTCGATAGCTTTTACAGAAAGGTTTGGTGACATTTATTTTCCGCTCATTTTAAAATTTGGATAGTGATATTAGAAGACCGAGATTATCTGAAAAATGTGATGTATTTGCGCTACACATTTCGAACAATCTGATCACATATTTACTCGTCAAAATTAAGGGCAATTAAACTAAACAAAGTGGCAAAAAGGATTTTTTAAAACCAAGAATAAGTAAAACGACGTTTGGTAATCCTATCAAATAATGATTACCAAGGTAATTTAATCAAGGTAGGTTAAGAGTAATAATAAACTGTTTTTGAAAACACGGATCGGGGATGCTTAAGTTTATGAATAGCTATAACCTCAGCGTATTTCAATAAGCGCACTTGACCATTATTATGGATGACCTTATAGGCTGTAATAACATCGATCATCTCGATTCCACTGGTTTACCACAATTAATTTTTTTCAAATCAATTTCATGACATCCTCTCCCACCCTCACATGCTAAGCACAATTACTTCTCCTCATGTATGTGTGTCCACACACACACACGCAAATCGGCAAATAATGTGGGTGTGACATAATCACTTGTGCATTTTTGAGGTTTGCATTGAAGCATATTTTTAGCTTTTTCGACAATTACAAGCTGGGCTGCATAAGAGGTTCTACAGATGATCGAATTCAACCTTTGTCTCAAAATCCCACATTTTATTTCCCCGTTATATATATGGCTGTTTAATGAACACATTTTTCTTAGGGGCGATATAGATTGTAGGTTTAGAGACTAATTGACCTCCACACCTGCTTAAAAATTTATCAATATTTCGTTTTCTTTGTCTATAACATCAACCGTGAAAATACACTGAATCCTCTTAAATATTTGATAGTGTGAAATATTCCCATATTATGAATTAAAAGTCAATCTGAACGAAGAATATTCTTTTCAATAATTTCTCCTCTTCAGGTTCTTACAATTATAAAATATAATATTTGTGGTCGTTACAATAAAGATAGCCAGGTATGCGGCGGATACATTTTTTAACGTAGAATAACAGATTAGTTATGGGGTGTCAAAATAAATAGTCATATTTGTGTGACAAACGTGCTAGGCTGAAATCGATTAGAAATATTGTAAAACGGGAGACAATAGTGGTGGTTAATCATAATGGAATGAGTGACAACTTACAAATGAAGTCTGATCAATTAGTTTAGCAGGTTATCACTAAAAGTTGTGTTCCAGGCCGTCAAACCATACTTAAGAAATTAATTTGAGTTTTTTATTTAGTGTAAGCAGTTTACATGCTCAAATTCTTGACTTTTTCAGAAGAAAGGTTTGAACATGAAGAAGATTTGAGTTCAGAATTGCACATCCCGTCCTTAGAAAACCTTCTGGATGATGAGTCTTTCGAGAATGTCTATCGGAAAGCACTACTAGTGGATACTAGTCAACAGAGTAGCTACATTCAAGATGCCAAACCTACATTGGATGAAATAGCTACTACTGGACTGCAATCAGAAGTTTCACCTTCCCATGTACTTCATACAGATTCGGCCATTCCAGATATAGTACAGCGAATCCCGAAAGAATCACATGAATTTGAGGAGATTGAAGAAATTCTACCTGATGGTACCATAGTTACCAAGCGCACAGAATCTGAGGAAACTACATTATCTGTTACTCCAGATGAATGGGAGCAGGGTGTACAATCTGCAATTGATTCTGGAGAGTATATGGTTGAAAAACCCGAGGAGATTACAGAAGTAAGCAAACGTAATATTAATTTAAATGCGTAGTAAAGTCAAGAATCTGACAAAGTGGTTTATACATCTCAAATGTTTCTAGATGTAGTATTATTCCTAAGACATTAAGTAAAATCGGAGTTCGCACATACGCTTATTTCCTACCTAATGTTTGTTTAACTACAAGCCTGCCATACAATGATATGTGCATATCGTTATCAGAAAGTGGATAAAAAATAAAGTAAAGTAATCAAGTATTTCACAATCTACACTTAGTTTTGTTATCTTCACCAATTCTACAACTTGACAACCAAAAATGACCCCAGACTAACGAACAATGGTCAAGTTAGTAAACTTTGTTTTGATGTAATAACAGATATACTATTACCTTTGATATTTGATTTGAGCGATCTTCCTTGTTATTTTGACTTTCAATATGTCCTTTTAAGTTGGACTAAGTCATTTTTTTCTCACCCCCTAACTTTTCGTTATATATATGCTTAGATTTTGTAAATTCCGGTTTAATAATACTTTGAGAAAGCTATTAGCATTAAATAACGAAACGTCATTAAAAACAACATCGTTTTGTTTTTCCTTCATTGGGAAATACAAAAAACTATTATTATGATTATGAATACCAGTTTAAAAACGTATGACAAGTTGCTGGTCTCAATGATGGGTGAATTGTTAAGAGCAATGATAGGAGATGTGGTTTACCAATGTTGATTCATTATTGAAAGAAAAACAAAGAAACCTTTAAACAACTTATGAGAAAGGACCAAATTGAAGTTGTTTTTTTTTGAGATTATGTGAAAGAAATATTATGTGACAAGGGAAACGTTTTTGGGAAACACGTTAAAGGTGATACAGTAAGCTGGAAATAAACCAAACTTCAGTATGGTAATCACAGACATGCATTGAATTTAAATCTGTTTCATTTTATTCGGAATATCATCATTTGGCACATAAATTTCTATCAGTATTTCATAAAAATTAGAATAAGCTGTTAATGAGTTTGATGTGAAACTCACTGAACGCTCGATTGTTGTTTAGCGTACACAGAATTTTGGCCCAAGTGATACACCTTCTTCCTCATAAGTAGGTAGTTAAAGAAGTTTTATCTCCTGGGCAAAACTATTTTCCTTGTATCGTATTTTCATTTCGGAAAATAGTGAGGAAGATATTAGATGGTTGGAGGCAATCGGCCACAGGAACCCTTGGACCTAGGTTTCGTGCTAGTTGGCACTCGTCAGCAAGGCGAATCTGTAACCTTGAAGGAACTCATGTCCCTTCTGAGATTCGAACCCACGTCACCCAGTGCTACAGTCACAGACGTTACCACTGAGCTATTCGAGCTCGCGATTGACCTCCTGTAGGACTGTATCAAATCAACGTGCACCGTGATGGCGAGCTTTCTAGAATGGTGGCCACGTTACAACCTGACTGATAGAATTCAGTCTGCACCATCACACTAGTTAATAGTGTCAAACCAAAATAGTGAGGAAGGTTTTATAAACATAAACCATTATATTATTATTTTTGTTTTACAGAAGCTTATCAAGAGACATAACTACAGAAACACAACTGAATGTTAGAGCATAATGTAATTCTTTTGTACACCTGAACGCCATCTGTTTTTTAACTAGTATAGAGCTACATGTCACTTAACAGTTTCTGGTATTGACTAGGTCTCTCAGTGAAATTGATATGCATTACACTGAACTATGAGTGGTTAGGTGGTGTAAGTTTACTCAGCTGGAATAAGTCTGTCCCTAAACTCTATCGCAGAACCTAGAGGTTTGTGAGGTATCACCGAACAGCATCGGAAAACAAAACTACTCATCCAGTAGGCCGGAATATTTTGTCATTGTCTGACGTATGATAGCTTAAAATGGCGTCCAATTATTTGCATATATAACTAACCGAATTCAAGCTTAAATATTGTGACTAGGATACACTGAGGTTAAATTTGTGTAGAAATGCATGTAAACACTTTGTTTTCTAATGATCTTGATTATTTAATTACGGTAGTCGAATTTGGAAAGTCAATTTTCCAAGAAATAATTGATTTCCCGAAAAGCTTTAACTTGATACTTAATCAGAAATATGAAAATCAACATGAAATTCGCTTTTTACCTCAATATCAGTTTCCCAGGTTATGGTGTTCATTAGTAAGTTTACATTGAGTAAAACAAAGTAATACTAACTAAATCAGTGGAATAGCTGCGAAAATTAACTGAATTCTTTCTCTTACTATGAAAACGTAACATCCTGCATCTGAGATGCAAACGCAAATAAATTAGTCTTCCAACATTCATGGAAAAATTTTTACTTATACCCTAGAAAAGATTTGTGCACTTAGTCCAAACGATTCAAGATAGCACCATCATTATCTTAAATGATTTAAGTGACTGAAAAAAACTTCATTGATAGATAAACTGTTTCGTTGGCTGGCTTTGCATCATGACACTGTAGTTAACTGTTCAGCGCAGTATACTAAAAGACAATCACTAGGGCGTATATTGCCATTAAGTGGTAGAAATAAGACTAGAAGAACAGAGCTGTAGATGAAATACACTATTTTTAGTTGGATAGTATAAAAACTTTGTCGTCCTAAATTCAGGCAATAAAAATGTAAGTAATGAAGAAAGGATAAATAACTTTCTATTTAAATCATTGATGACTAGAAACAACATCAAGCAAAAAGAAAATGGATTGCTTTTGAGAATATAACATTCTGCAGATAATATCGTTCCGAACTGATTGATATTTCTCAAATGTCTGGAATGGATCAATTAGAGTTATTACTGAAAGCAAAAATCCATTTTAGTACATGGTGAATAGTCAGTCAAAGCTTCATAATATACTGTTACTTGCAGATTTTCAATTTCAACACTTATTTACAAGCAATTATTTTTCCTTTACATTTAAGGTGGAACAGTTCGATGAAACTCTACCTGATGGAACTGTAATCACTAGGTTGATTACAACAAAACGCGTGGTGGATCGAGTCTTTGAACGTTCTGTTTCAGAAGAACAGTCAGTACCATCTGATTCTAACGAACAGTTATATGTGGGGACAAGTTCATTGATGCCAGAACTCCCAATGACAGATGATCAGTATGCGTATCACGGTAAACTACATTGTAATTTAAAATGCTTGGAACAAATAACTATAGAATCCTCTTTATTAATTGTAAATTAGATTTTGCGCAATTCACTGAATGTTGAGGCGATAAGGAACTAAGTTTCTTTGAATTTGCCTTACTAAACGAAAAGTAACTCAAATTTATGAGTTCTATTACTGAGAACCTACTAAAAAAGTATAATATAATCCTAAAGTGTGTTTACCATTTGTGGTAACTAAATTAGTTTGATCACCATAGTATAAAAAAATGATTCTGTAAAATGCATAACACTTAAAGGCCTATTCAAACACGTAGAATACTAGCATATGTTGAACAGCACTTCAATTTTCCACCTGTAGGAAAATTTACTATAGGAAAAAATACATTCATTGTTCACCCTGTTAGAATTTATAATAATTCTAGTAAAGTCAACGTAAGTATAACTGAATCTCTCACACTCAATAGGTTCCTACACGTTTGTCAATTAGGAATGAGTGAAGTTTATTTGTGCATGTTGCTTGCTAGTTTTTGATAGTAAACACACCTAATACGACTAGAGGCAAACAACCATGCATCCAAAAAAACACATTTCCAAACAAAATATTCTGTTGATTTAAATTGCAAGATTGTGCATTTTGTCGCTTGCCGAAATAAAGAGATTAGTATGCATTTAGTTCAAAGTGAAGAAAGCATTAGCGTATATTACTTCTTCGCCCACTCTTTCACAAAAGAGACGGTTCATGATATTTTGCGCTTGTTTTTCATGGTTACTGTTTATAAAAGGAATCATGAAGTTAATATATTTTTGGTTTAATTTTAGTTTAGATAGCTTTTGGTTTGCATTTGGCTTATGCTATTTGTCTATTGCTTTTTCTCTTCTTTTTCAACCGGAAAAAACACTTATTAAAACCATCATCATAAACAACAACAATAACGAAAACAACAACACATACGCATAACAAAAAACTTTTCCGTTTATTATTTCCTCCAAAAATATAAATTAAACCTGAACTTTAACTTAATAGATAATGAACCTGAATCTATATTACCACTGGAAATTTCGTCAGAATTAATATGCGATACAAAACCAGATAGCACAGTTATTACGAATACCCTATCCATAATCGAATCTAACCTTAACAACCAATTGGAAAATGTTCAACAAATAAAACATTTAGATAGAGACACTGAACAAACAACACGAAAGCAAGTGTTTGAAGATAAAGAAAGTGCTCAAATGAAGAGACAACCAGAAAGAAATCTATATCATGCCACATTAGAACAAGAGATAAACAACCTTACTGAAGTGCAATATGGAAACGAATCAGATAATAAAACAAGAAAATTGGCAGTCATTGGATCGGAATCAAAAGACCTGGAAGAAATTGATGGCGGAGCTATACATAGTATGCACACAAAAGACAGCGTCGGAAAACGAAATAAAGATCACACAGCGACACTACAAATCAAAACAGAAGAAGATAGAATTAACAGAAAAGACGTTACAACAAAATCTCAACCAGAAATACACGATGCGGAAGAGGAAAGTCACATATTCAAGAAAGAAATAAAAACAGAGCAAACAAAAATTATTAAACAAAATGAATATACAAACAATCAAACAAAACACACTGAAATAACCAAAGAAAATTATGAAGACGGGCCACAGAAAATCAAAACACAAGAGGAAAAATGGAAAAATGAAACATGGAAAAACTACGAAGAAAATCAAAGCAACAAGAAACAAGAAAACAAAAACAAATATGAAGAACAGGACAGAAACAAACAACAAGGAGATGCAGCAGTTGAAGTGGAAGTGGAAGCTGGGTCGGCTGTGCAAGTGTCAGGTGAATCATTGGGGCAAGTTGAATGGGAAGCAGAAAGTGAAGCGGCTGCACACGTTCAGTGGGAAGGTGTGTCTGTCATCGCGCCAGTGGGATCGGAGTCTGAGGCGATTTCAGAAACTGCAGGGGAAGGCGAATCTGAGCGATTGGCTGAGCGTGTGAGTGAGATGGAGACGGAATATGCTGAATTAGTTGGTGAAGGCGTAGTTGATGAGAGGGAAGCGGAGGCGTCAGCGGAGGCGGTGGTGGCAGCTGAAGCAGAAGCTGAAGCTGAGGTGGAACTGGAAGTGGAAGCTGAGTCGGCTGTGCAAGTGTCAGGTGAATCATTGGGGCAAGTTGAATGGGAAGCAGAAAGTGAAGCGGCTGCACACGTTCAGTGGGAAGGTGTGTCTGTCATCGCGCCAGTGGGATCGGAGTCTGAGGCGATTTCAGAGACTGCAGGGGAAGGCGAATCTGAGCGATTGGCTGAGCGTGTGAGTGAGATGGAGACGGAATATGCTGAATTAGTTGGTGAAGGCGTAGTTGATGAGAGGGAAGCGGAGGCGTCAGCGGAGGCGGTGGTGGCAGCTGAAGCAGAAGCTGAAGCTGAGGTGGAACTGGAAGTGGAAGCTGAGTCGGCTGTGCAAGTGTCAGGTGAATCATTGGGGCAAGTTGAATGGGAAGCAGAAAGTGAAGCGGCTGCACACGTTCAGTGGGAAGGTGTGTCTGTCATCGCGCCAGTGGGATCGGAGTCTGAGGCGATTTCAGAGACTGCAGGGGAAGGCGAATCTGAGCGATTGGCTGAGCGTGTGAGTGAGATGGAGACGGAATATGCTGAATTAGTTGGTGAAGGCGTAGTTGATGAGAGGGAAGCGGAGGCGTCAGCGGAGGCGGTGGTGGCAGCTGAAGCAGAAGCTGAAGCTGAGGTGGAACTGGAAGTGGAAGCTGAGTCGGCTGTGCAAGTGTCAGGTGAATCATTGGGGCAAGTTGAATGGGAAGCAGAAAGTGAAGCGGCTGCACACGTTCAGTGGGAAGGTGTGTCTGTCATCGCGCCAGTGGGATCGGAGTCTGAGGCGATTTCAGAGACTGCAGGGGAAGGCGAATCTGAGCGATTGGCTGAGCGTGTGAGTGAGATGGAGACGGAATATGCTGAATTAGTTGGTGAAGGCGTAGTTGATGAGAGGGAAGCGGAGGCGTCAGCGGAGGCGGTGGTGGCAGCTGAAGCAGAAGCTGAAGCTGAGGTGGAACTGGAAGTGGAAGCTGAGTCGGCTGTGCAAGTGTCAGGTGAATCATTGGGGCAAGTTGAATGGGAAGCAGAAAGTGAAGCGGCTGCACACGTTCAGTGGGAAGGTGTGTCTGTCATCGCGCCAGTGGGATCGGAGTCTGAGGCGATTTCAGAGACTGCAGGGGAAGGCGAATCTGAGCGATTGGCTGAGCGTGTGAGTGAGATGGAGACGGAATATGCTGAATTAGTTGGTGAAGGCGTAGTTGATGAGAGGGAAGCGGAGGCGTCAGCGGAGGCGGTGGTGGCAGCTGAAGCAGAAGCTGAAGCTGAGGTGGAACTGGAAGTGGAAGCTGAGTCGGCTGTGCAAGTGTCAGGTGAATCATTGGGGCAAGTTGAATGGGAAGCAGAAAGTGAAGCGGCTGCACACGTTCAGTGGGAAGGTGTGTCTGTCATCGCGCCAGTGGGATCGGAGTCTGAGGCGATTTCAGAGACTGCAGGGGAAGGCGAATCTGAGCGATTGGCTGAGCGTGTGAGTGAGATGGAGACGGAATATGCTGAATTAGTTGGTGAAGGCGTAGTTGATGAGAGGGAAGCGGAGGCGTCAGCGGAGGCGGTGGTGGCAGCTGAAGCAGAAGCTGAAGCTGAGGTGGAACTGGAAGTGGAAGCTGAGTCGGCTGTGCAAGTGTCAGGTGAATCATTGGGGCAAGTTGAATGGGAAGCAGAAAGTGAAGCGGCTGCACACGTTCAGTGGGAAGGTGTGTCTGTCATCGCGCCAGTGGGATCGGAGTCTGAGGCGATTTCAGAGACTGCAGGGGAAGGCGAATCTGAGCGATTGGCTGAGCGTGTGAGTGAGATGGAGACGGAATATGCTGAATTAGTTGGTGAAGGCGTAGTTGATGAGAGGGAAGCGGAGGCGTCAGCGGAGGCGGTGGTGGCAGCTGAAGCAGAAGCTGAAGCTGAGGTGGAACTGGAAGTGGAAGCTGAGTCGGCTGTGCAAGTGTCAGGTGAATCATTGGGGCAAGTTGAATGGGAAGCAGAAAGTGAAGCGGCTGCACACGTTCAGTGGGAAGGTGTGTCTGTCATCGCGCCAGTGGGATCGGAGTCTGAGGCGATTTCAGAGACTGCAGGGGAAGGCGAATCTGAGCGATTGGCTGAGCGTGTGAGTGAGATGGAGACGGAATATGCTGAATTAGTTGGTGAAGGCGTAGTTGATGAGAGGGAAGTGGAGGCGTCAGCGGAGGCGGTGGTGGCAGCTGAAGCAGAAGCTGAAGCTGAGGTGGAACTGGAAGTGGAAGCTGAGTCGGCTGTGCAAGTGTCAGGTGAATCATTGGGGCAAGTTGAATGGGAAGCAGAAAGTGAAGCGGCTGCACACGTTCAGTGGGAAGGTGTGTCTGTCATCGCGCCAGTGGGATCGGAGTCTGAGGCGATTTCAGAGACTGCAGGGGAAGGCGAATCTGAGCGATTGGCTGAGCGTGTGAGTGAGATGGAGACGGAATATGCTGAATTAGTTGGTGAAGGCGTAGTTGATGAGAGGGAAGCGGAGGCGTCAGCGGAGGCGGTGGTGGCAGCTGAAGCAGAAGCTGAAGCTGAGGTGGAACTGGAAGTGGAAGCTGAGTCGGCTGTGCAAGTGTCAGGTGAATCATTGGGGCAAGTTGAATGGGAAGCAGAAAGTGAAGCGGCTGCACACGTTCAGTGGGAAGGTGTGTCTGTCATCGCGCCAGTGGGATCGGAGTCTGAGGCGATTTCAGAGACTGCAGGGGAAGGCGAATCTGAGCGATTGGCTGAGCGTGTGAGTGAGATGGAGACGGAATATGCTGAATTAGTTGGTGAAGGCGTAGTTGATGAGAGGGAAGTGGAGGCGTCAGCGGAGGCGGTGGTGGCAGCTGAAGCAGAAGCTGAAGCTGAGGTGGAACTGGAAGTGGAAGCTGAGTCGGCTGTGCAAGTGTCAGGTGAATCATTGGGGCAAGTTGAATGGGAAGCAGAAAGTGAAGCGGCTGCACACGTTCAGTGGGAAGGTGTGTCTGTCATCGCGCCAGTGGGATCGGAGTCTGAGGCGATTTCAGAGACTGCAGGGGAAGGCGAATCTGAGCGATTGGCTGAGCGTGTGAGTGAGATGGAGACGGAATATGCTGAATTAGTTGGTGAAGGCGTAGTTGATGAGAGGGAAGCGGAGGCGTCAGCGGAGGCGGTGGTGGCAGCTGAAGCAGAAGCTGAAGCTGAGGTGGAACTGGAAGTGGAAGCTGAGTCGGCTGTGCAAGTGTCAGGTGAATCATTGGGGCAAGTTGAATGGGAAGCAGAAAGTGAAGCGGCTGCACACGTTCAGTGGGAAGGTGTGTCTGTCATCGCGCCAGTGGGATCGGAGTCTGAGGCGATTTCAGAGACTGCAGGGGAAGGCGAATCTGAGCGATTGGCTGAGCGTGTGAGTGAGATGGAGACGGAATATGCTGAATTAGTTGGTGAAGGCGTAGTTGATGAGAGGGAAGCGGAGGCGTCAGCGGAGGCGGTGGTGGCAGCTGAAGCAGAAGCTGAAGCTGAGGTGGAACTGGAAGTGGAAGCTGAGTCGGCTGTGCAAGTGTCAGGTGAATCATTGGGGCAAGTTGAATGGGAAGCAGAAAGTGAAGCGGCTGCACACGTTCAGTGGGAAGGTGTGTCTGTCATCGCGCCAGTGGGATCGGAGTCTGAGGCGATTTCAGAGACTGCAGGGGAAGGCGAATCTGAGCGATTGGCTGAGCGTGTGAGTGAGATGGAGACGGAATATGCTGAATTAGTTGGTGAAGGCGTAGTTGATGAGAGGGAAGCGGAGGCGTCAGCGGAGGCGGTGGTGGCAGCTGAAGCAGAAGCTGAAGCTGAGGTGGAACTGGAAGTGGAAGCTGAGTCGGCTGTGCAAGTGTCAGGTGAATCATTGGGGCAAGTTGAATGGGAAGCAGAAAGTGAAGCGGCTGCACACGTTCAGTGGGAAGGTGTGTCTGTCATCGCGCCAGTGGGATCGGAGTCTGAGGCGATTTCAGAGACTGCAGGGGAAGGCGAATCTGAGCGATTGGCTGAGCGTGTGAGTGAGATGGAGACGGAATATGCTGAATTAGTTGGTGAAGGCGTAGTTGATGAGAGGGAAGCGGAGGCGTCAGCGGAGGCGGTGGTGGCAGCTGAAGCAGAAGCTGAAGCTGAGGTGGAACTGGAAGTGGAAGCTGAGTCGGCTGTGCAAGTGTCAGGTGAATCATTGGGGCAAGTTGAATGGGAAGCAGAAAGTGAAGCGGCTGCACACGTTCAGTGGGAAGGTGTGTCTGTCATCGCGCCAGTGGGATCGGAGTCTGAGGCGATTTCAGAGACTGCAGGGGAAGGCGAATCTGAGCGATTGGCTGAGCGTGTGAGTGAGATGGAGACGGAATATGCTGAATTAGTTGGTGAAGGCGTAGTTGATGAGAGGGAAGCGGAGGCGTCAGCGGAGGCGGTGGTGGCAGCTGAAGCAGAAGCTGAAGCTGAGGTGGAACTGGAAGTGGAAGCTGAGTCGGCTGTGCAAGTGTCAGGTGAATCATTGGGGCAAGTTGAATGGGAAGCAGAAAGTGAAGCGGCTGCACACGTTCAGTGGGAAGGTGTGTCTGTCATCGCGCCAGTGGGATCGGAGTCTGAGGCGATTTCAGAGACTGCAGGGGAAGGCGAATCTGAGCGATTGGCTGAGCGTGTGAGTGAGATGGAGACGGAATATGCTGAATTAGTTGGTGAAGGCGTAGTTGATGAGAGGGAAGCGGAGGCGTCAGCGGAGGCGGTGGTGGCAGCTGAAGCAGAAGCTGAAGCTGAGGTGGAACTGGAAGTGGAAGCTGAGTCGGCTGTGCAAGTGTCAGGTGAATCATTGGGGCAAGTTGAATGGGAAGCAGAAAGTGAAGCGGCTGCACACGTTCAGTGGGAAGGTGTGTCTGTCATCGCGCCAGTGGGATCGGAGTCTGAGGCGATTTCAGAGACTGCAGGGGAAGGCGAATCTGAGCGATTGGCTGAGCGTGTGAGTGAGATGGAGACGGAATATGCTGAATTAGTTGGTGAAGGCGTAGTTGATGAGAGGGAAGCGGAGGCGTCAGCGGAGGCGGTGGTGGCAGCTGAAGCAGAAGCTGAAGCTGAGGTGGAACTGGAAGTGGAAGCTGAGTCGGCTGTGCAAGTGTCAGGTGAATCATTGGGGCAAGTTGAATGGGAAGCAGAAAGTGAAGCGGCTGCACACGTTCAGTGGGAAGGTGTGTCTGTCATCGCGCCAGTGGGATCGGAGTCTGAGGCGATTTCAGAGACTGCAGGGGAAGGCGAATCTGAGCGATTGGCTGAGCGTGTGAGTGAGATGGAGACGGAATATGCTGAATTAGTTGGTGAAGGCGTAGTTGATGAGAGGGAAGCGGAGGCGTCAGCGGAGGCGGTGGTGGCAGCTGAAGCAGAAGCTGAAGCTGAGGTGGAACTGGAAGTGGAAGCTGAGTCGGCTGTGCAAGTGTCAGGTGAATCATTGGGGCAAGTTGAATGGGAAGCAGAAAGTGAAGCGGCTGCACACGTTCAGTGGGAAGGTGTGTCTGTCATCGCGCCAGTGGGATCGGAGTCTGAGGCGATTTCAGAGACTGCAGGGGAAGGCGAATCTGAGCGATTGGCTGAGCGTGTGAGTGAGATGGAGACGGAATATGCTGAATTAGTTGGTGAAGGCGTAGTTGATGAGAGGGAAGCGGAGGCGTCAGCGGAGGCGGTGGTGGCAGCTGAAGCAGAAGCTGAAGCTGAGGTGGAACTGGAAGTGGAAGCTGAGTCGGCTGTGCAAGTGTCAGGTGAATCATTGGGGCAAGTTGAATGGGAAGCAGAAAGTGAAGCGGCTGCACACGTTCAGTGGGAAGGTGTGTCTGTCATCGCGCCAGTGGGATCGGAGTCTGAGGCGATTTCAGAGACTGCAGGGGAAGGCGAATCTGAGCGATTGGCTGAGCGTGTGAGTGAGATGGAGACGGAATATGCTGAATTAGTTGGTGAAGGCGTAGTTGATGAGAGGGAAGCGGAGGCGTCAGCGGAGGCGGTGGTGGCAGCTGAAGCAGAAGCTGAAGCTGAGGTGGAACTGGAAGTGGAAGCTGAGTCGGCTGTGCAAGTGTCAGGTGAATCATTGGGGCAAGTTGAATGGGAAGCAGAAAGTGAAGCGGCTGCACACGTTCAGTGGGAAGGTGTGTCTGTCATCGCGCCAGTGGGATCGGAGTCTGAGGCGATTTCAGAGACTGCAGGGGAAGGCGAATCTGAGCGATTGGCTGAGCGTGTGAGTGAGATGGAGACGGAATATGCTGAATTAGTTGGTGAAGGCGTAGTTGATGAGAGGGAAGCGGAGGCGTCAGCGGAGGCGGTGGTGGCAGCTGAAGCAGAAGCTGAAGCTGAGGTGGAACTGGAAGTGGAAGCTGAGTCGGCTGTGCAAGTGTCAGGTGAATCATTGGGGCAAGTTGAATGGGAAGCAGAAAGTGAAGCGGCTGCACACGTTCAGTGGGAAGGTGTGTCTGTCATCGCGCCAGTGGGATCGGAGTCTGAGGCGATTTCAGAGACTGCAGGGGAAGGCGAATCTGAGCGATTGGCTGAGCGTGTGAGTGAGATGGAGACGGAATATGCTGAATTAGTTGGTGAAGGCGTAGTTGATGAGAGGGAAGCGGAGGCGTCAGCGGAGGCGGTGGTGGCAGCTGAAGCAGAAGCTGAAGCTGAGGTGGAACTGGAAGTGGAAGCTGAGTCGGCTGTGCAAGTGTCAGGTGAATCATTGGGGCAAGTTGAATGGGAAGCAGAAAGTGAAGCGGCTGCACACGTTCAGTGGGAAGGTGTGTCTGTCATCGCGCCAGTGGGATCGGAGTCTGAGGCGATTTCAGAGACTGCAGGGGAAGGCGAATCTGAGCGATTGGCTGAGCGTGTGAGTGAGATGGAGACGGAATATGCTGAATTAGTTGGTGAAGGCGTAGTTGATGAGAGGGAAGCGGAGGCGTCAGCGGAGGCGGTGGTGGCAGCTGAAGCAGAAGCTGAAGCTGAGGTGGAACTGGAAGTGGAAGCTGAGTCGGCTGTGCAAGTGTCAGGTGAATCATTGGGGCAAGTTGAATGGGAAGCAGAAAGTGAAGCGGCTGCACACGTTCAGTGGGAAGGTGTGTCTGTCATCGCGCCAGTGGGATCGGAGTCTGAGGCGATTTCAGAGACTGCAGGGGAAGGCGAATCTGAGCGATTGGCTGAGCGTGTGAGTGAGATGGAGACGGAATATGCTGAATTAGTTGGTGAAGGCGTAGTTGATGAGAGGAAAGCGGAGGCGTCAGCGGAGGCGGTGGTGGCAGCTGAAGCAGAAGCTGAAGCTGAGGTGGAACTGGAAGTGGAAGCTGAGTCGGCTGTGCAAGTGTCAGGTGAATCATTGGGGCAAGTTGAATGGGAAGCAGAAAGTGAAGCGGCTGCACACGTTCAGTGGGAAGGTGTGTCTGTCATCGCGCCAGTGGGATCGGAGTCTGAGGCGATTTCAGAGACTGCAGGGGAAGGCGAATCTGAGCGATTGGCTGAGCGTGTGAGTGAGATGGAGACGGAATATGCTGAATTAGTTGGTGAAGGCGTAGTTGATGAGAGGGAAGCGGAGGCGTCAGCGGAGGCGGTGGTGGCAGCTGAAGCAGAAGCTGAAGCTGAGGTGGAACTGGAAGTGGAAGCTGAGTCGGCTGTGCAAGTGTCAGGTGAATCATTGGGGCAAGTTGAATGGGAAGCAGAAAGTGAAGCGGCTGCACACGTTCAGTGGGAAGGTGTGTCTGTCATCGCGCCAGTGGGATCGGAGTCTGAGGCGATTTCAGAGACTGCAGGGGAAGGCGAATCTGAGCGATTGGCTGAGCGTGTGAGTGAGATGGAGACGGAATATGCTGAATTAGTTGGTGAAGGCGTAGTTGATGAGAGGGAAGCGGAGGCGTCAGCGGAGGCGGTGGTGGCAGCTGAAGCAGAAGCTGAAGCTGAGGTGGAACTGGAAGTGGAAGCTGAGTCGGCTGTGCAAGTGTCAGGTGAATCATTGGGGCAAGTTGAATGGGAAGCAGAAAGTGAAGCGGCTGCACACGTTCAGTGGGAAGGTGTGTCTGTCATCGCGCCAGTGGGATCGGAGTCTGAGGCGATTTCAGAGACTGCAGGGGAAGGCGAATCTGAGCGATTGGCTGAGCGTGTGAGTGAGATGGAGACGGAATATGCTGAATTAGTTGGTGAAGGCGTAGTTGATGAGAGGAAAGCGGAGGCGTCAGCGGAGGCGGTGGTGGCAGCTGAAGCAGAAGCTGAAGCTGAGGTGGAACTGGAAGTGGAAGCTGAGTCGGCTGTGCAAGTGTCAGGTGAATCATTGGGGCAAGTTGAATGGGAAGCAGAAAGTGAAGCGGCTGCACACGTTCAGTGGGAAGGTGTGTCTGTCATCGCGCCAGTGGGATCGGAGTCTGAGGCGATTTCAGAGACTGCAGGGGAAGGCGAATCTGAGCGATTGGCTGAGCGTGTGAGTGAGATGGAGACGGAATATGCTGAATTAGTTGGTGAAGGCGTAGTTGATGAGAGGGAAGCGGAGGCGTCAGCGGAGGCGGTGGTGGCAGCTGAAGCAGAAGCTGAAGCTGAGGTGGAACTGGAAGTGGAAGCTGAGTCGGCTGTGCAAGTGTCAGGTGAATCATTGGGGCAAGTTGAATGGGAAGCAGAAAGTGAAGCGGCTGCACACGTTCAGTGGGAAGGTGTGTCTGTCATCGCGCCAGTGGGATCGGAGTCTGAGGCGATTTCAGAGACTGCAGGGGAAGGCGAATCTGAGCGATTGGCTGAGAGTGTGAGTGAGATGGAGACGGAATATGCTGAATTAGTTGGTGAAGGCGTAGTTGATGAGAGGGAAGCGGAGGCGTCAGCGGAGGCGGTGGTGGCAGCTGAAGCAGAAGCTGAAGCTGAGGTGGAACTGGAAGTGGAAGCTGAGTCGGCTGTGCAAGTGTCAGGTGAATCATTGGGGCAAGTTGAATGGGAAGCAGAAAGTGAAGCGGCTGCACACGTTCAGTGGGAAGGTGTGTCTGTCATCGCGCCAGTGGGATCGGAGTCTGAGGCGATTTCAGAGACTGCAGGGGAAGGCGAATCTGAGCGATTGGCTGAGCGTGTGAGTGAGATGGAGACGGAATATGCTGAATTAGTTGGTGAAGGCGTAGTTGATGAGAGGAAAGCGGAGGCGTCAGCGGAGGCGGTGGTGGCAGCTGAAGCAGAAGCTGAAGCTGAGGTGGAACTGGAAGTGGAAGCTGAGTCGGCTGTGCAAGTGTCAGGTGAATCATTGGGGCAAGTTGAATGGGAAGCAGAAAGTGAAGCGGCTGCACACGTTCAGTGGGAAGGTGTGTCTGTCATCGCGCCAGTGGGATCGGAGTCTGAGGCGATTTCAGAGACTGCAGGGGAAGGCGAATCTGAGCGATTGGCTGAGCGTGTGTGTGAGATGGAGACGGAATATGCTGAATTAGTTGGTGAAGGCGTAGTTGATGAGAGGGAAGCGGAGGCGTCAGCGGAGGCGGTGGTGGCAGCTGAAGCAGAAGCTGAAGCTGAGGTGGAACTGGAAGTGGAAGCTGAGTCGGCTGTGCAAGTGTCAGGTGAATCATTGGGGCAAGTTGAATGGGAAGCAGAAAGTGAAGCGGCTGCACACGTTCAGTGGGAAGGTGTGTCTGTCATCGCGCCAGTGGGATCGGAGTCTGAGGCGATTTCAGAGACTGCAGGGGAAGGCGAATCTGAGCGATTGGCTGAGAGTGTGAGTGAGATGGAGACGGAATATGCTGAATTAGTTGGTGAAGGCGTAGTTGATGAGAGGGAAGCGGAGGCGTCAGCGGAGGCGGTGGTGGCAGCTGAAGCAGAAGCTGAAGCTGAGGTGGAACTGGAAGTGGAAGCTGAGTCGGCTGTGCAAGTGTCAGGTGAATCATTGGGGCAAGTTGAATGGGAAGCAGAAAGTGAAGCGGCTGCACACGTTCAGTGGGAAGGTGTGTCTGTCATCGCGCCAGTGGGATCGGAGTCTGAGGCGATTTCAGAGACTGCAGGGGAAGGCGAATCTGAGCGATTGGCTGAGCGTGTGAGTGAGATGGAGACGGAATATGCTGAATTAGTTGGTGAAGGCGTAGTTGATGAGAGGGAAGCGGAGGTGTCAGCGGAGGCGGTGGTGGCAGCTGAAGCAGAAGCTGAAGCTGAGGTGGAACTGGAAGTGGAAGCTGAGTCGGCTGTGCAAGTGTCAGGTGAATCATTGGGGCAAGTTGAATGGGAAGCAGAAAGTGAAGCGGCTGCACACGTTCAGTGGGAAGGTGTGTCTGTCATCGCGCCAGTGGGATCGGAGTCTGAGGCGATTTCAGAGACTGCAGGGGAAGGCGAATCTGAGCGATTGGCTGAGCGTGTGAGTGAGATGGAGACGGAATATGCTGAATTAGTTGGTGAAGGCGTAGTTGATGAGAGGGAAGCGGAGGCGTCAGCGGAGGCGGTGGTGGCAGCTGAAGCAGAAGCTGAAGCTGAGGTGGAACTGGAAGTGGAAGCTGAGTCGGCTGTGCAAGTGTCAGGTGAATCATTGGGGCAAGTTGAATGGGAAGCAGAAAGTGAAGCGGCTGCACACGTTCAGTGGGAAGGTGTGTCTGTCATCGCGCCAGTGGGATCGGAGTCTGAGGCGATTTCAGAGACTGCAGGGGAAGGCGAATCTGAGCGATTGGCTGAGCGTGTGAGTGAGATGGAGACGGAATATGCTGAATTAGTTGGTGAAGGCCTAGTTGAGTTGGTATACTCGGAATCTGAATTTCCTCGGGAAGCATCTTCTTCCGCGTATTCGGAATTTGCATTGCAATATCCTCCTGATTCTTCATGTTTTCCTCCCTGTCTTTCTGCTTTCGATGAGCTTCTGTTAACTGATTCGAATTGTGATATTTTTTCTGAAGCTCCTGCTAATTTTCCCAATACGCTCGCTGGTGATGTATTCATTTCTCAAGCGTTGCCGCCTTCCTTTGTTGGTTGTTCTTCTGTAGTGGAATCGCCGGATGTTTCTTCTGCTTTTGTTGATTTTGAACTTTGTTCTGCTTCATCATCTTGTATATCTGTTCATAACGGTTTGTCTGAGTTTTCGAAGTTTGATTTGCAATCTGCTCCATCTTTAGATTTGAATGATTCTGCTAGTCCACCTTGCGCTTTGCTCCTAGGTCTTAGTAGTTACCTGAAACCTGAAAATGGCTGTGTTTTGGATTCACCTGATATGTGTAGAGAAGATGCTATTTATCCCGCTGAATCCTCTGAAATTCCTGAAAATCTTGATACGTTAAATTATCGGGATGATTCTCCTACAGACGTTAAAACTGAAATTTCTACGGTGAAGGAGATGTTTTTTGAGACTTCTTCTATCCTGCTACCAGAAGCATCTGTTCTTGGTGTTACTGGATATGAACGTATTTCGCCTGACGAACTTGGGACATCAAACATAGTTCCACCCATATTAACCGCAAATGCAACATTATCAACGCTTTCAGAAGTCAGTGGATGTCCAGCTGAGTCCTTTTCCGATGAACATCTGTCATTATCTAACAATGAAATGACTACGTATTTTGATGGCTCTACTCCGGAGAAGCTGACAGACTTTTCATCCGTTGCATCTTTCCGCCTACCTGATTATTGTGATGAGAAATTTAAAGTTAGGCCAATATCTAAGGAAACCGCTGTTTATGATAAAATTTCTCCTTCTGTTATTGAGGCGTCTGGCTCAAGTTTTCCTCGTGATTCTGCTCACGCTGTAACGAACTTAGAAATGGATAGTTTAGAAAAATCTGTTTCTTCTGGAAAATCTGATTTAACATATCTTGCTGCTGCCTCAGGTGCTAATGTAGCTGTAGAGTTTACAGAAGAAGAGGAAGAAGACGAGGAACCTCCTGAAGCACATGCTTCCACAGTGAAAGTGCCTGAACATGGTGATGCTAGTCAACTAGTTCACTCTGCCTTAGATAGATCTGTTAGGGTGCTAAATCGTCTGCAAACGTATGGATTTCGAGGTAGCATTTCGCCTACAAGTTTTTATAGTAACCAACCAAACTGGCATTCGTCCGACACTAAAATAACATCTCCATATAAAGAAAGTAATGAAGAAAATGTAAAAGTTCTCTCTCAGATACAAAGTGATTATCCGAGTACTTCTTCAACAAACACCGAAGTACATAAGATGGAAGAGTTTGGCCGTGATGAACTTGATGACTTTGATGGTGACAGTCTTGAAGGCTTCTGTATTCCATTCGAACTGGATAGTACAGGTGATGATGCAAGAAAAATTCACACTGATGAGCCGAAATGCGAACGTACTGGGCTATCTCCAATACCTGAAACAGTCATCGGAGATCAGTTCTCCAACTCTGACAAGGAATTAAAGGCTGATTTAGAAGATCAGCAGGACTATCTCTCGAAAAAGGACGTACTTAGACACCAATACGCAATTCCTGACTTTACGGGATCCTGTCGCTCCATTAGTTCTATAAGTAATACCCTATTCAGTTCTGAACAAGATTTGCAGGGAAGTTCAACTCCAGATGAATCAAGTAAGGAAAGCCAATCTACAATCGTTAATATCGGTATGCTGAAAAGGTCACCAGTAATTTCTCATTTTTTAGGAAAAAGAGAGGAAACAAGTGACCAACGGGAAAAAGAGAATTTAGATGCATACGAATGTGACAATACGCAACTGCTTGAATCTAGAACTACCTTAGCTTCCGTTGAAAGTGACCTCAACTTCGTCGATAATGAAACAAAATTGGCATGTGATAATACAACATTAGAGTATTCACCTAGTAACCTTAGAAAAAGATCAGTTAACTCCTTATCTAATCTTTTAGGGTCGGAAACTAAGATAAGAAAGGCGGATTCGAAAACATCTACAAATTTTAGTAGCATTTCAGTATCGCAACCTATTTATACAACTGGAAAAAAAATAAGTGCTGCGCAAAATGAGTTCCAGAGGTCCATGGAAGGACATGCGACCAGTTTTCCACAACTTTCTCAAGAACACAAAATATATACAGTTACAGATTCATCTAAGTTGAAAGATATAAATGTTTCTAATGTCCAGTCTAATTTCTCAGCACCGGTTATTGATGAAACAAAGAAATCAAAAACAAGCAGTGATAATATCGCCAGCAGTTCATTGTCCGAATTTGAACGGTTAGAAAAGGAATTAGGTACAAGCGACTCTACCTCTCCTAGTAGTGGTCATAAAGGCAGTGGTGAAGATATCAGTTCTCATACATCTTCACTTTCTGAGTATCTGAGGCATGAAAAGGAATGTGAGAATTGTGAAGATAACTTCGTATTACCATCAGATTCAATAATTAAGTCAAGATTAAATGAAATGATGGATTTAAACACTAAAGTGAAAGCAGAAGTGTTACCTACAAGTTTAATAGCTCCAAGCTATGGACAGATATCAACCATTTATGAAGATCTTGCAGAACACCACACAAGTTCACTATCACAAAGCATAGAATCACCCACAACTTCACATTATTCAACCAAAGAGGATAACCAAACTTCATTTATGAACTTATGTCAAAAAGATGAAAACAAATCACATACAATATGTTCTGATGCTGTAGTTTCAGTTATTCATTCAAGAATGTCCAGTGATCGTTTAGACGTTGAGAAAATTGCTGAAAGTTTAACTTCCAGTTCAGAAATCGAAATTTTGATAGACAGAGCAGATGACCAAATGAGTGGATTGCTAGAAGCCGACTCATTAATTTATTCTTCAATCTACGATTCTTTAATACCTTCTGGTTATGAAAACAGTATTTTTGAGGTAAAAAATGCGATGTTTGGAACAGATTATGATTGGAGAGACCCGTTATTACGTGGAAGAGACTCATTAGAAGAGAGTGAGCATGGACAAATTAATAAAGTGACAGATTCCCTCTGTACCACATCATCATCAGCTTTTTCAAACCAGATGAGTACAAATGGAACAGAGCAATCAGAAAATGATGATCAAGGCATAACAGAGTTTGATTCTGCACACATTGATATCTTACATCAACAATATTTCGAAACTATTGACGAAAAAGAACTTTGTAATCTACCTTTAGATGAAACATCTCTTGCTGAAAATGTGACTTCAACAACTCCCTTAGAACTACCTGAGTCAATACGCCCTATTGGGCAAAAGGATTCCAGTGAACCAGTGTCCCGAGTTGCGAAGGATGAAATGCCTAGTGCGCTCACTTCTGTAAATATAATGACTGACTCATTAGATGATGGCAATAAAGCAATAGATCGAATAAATGTCACACTTTCTCCAACTTTATATTCAGTACCACCTGCATACAGCATTTTCGAAGTGTCTTCACATCCAACAATTACAACACAAAGTAGATATGATTTGAAACCTAACTTATTAGTCCACGAACCTAAAACAAATATATCTTCACCAGTAGTAATAACCCCTGAAGCTGAACATTTTTCGGTTGTAGGTGAAGTCAGGGCACCTAACACATCTAAGGTATTTGCTCCGTCATCAGTCAACGACTCTAAGATGGGTTCGAATCATGAAACAAGCATATTTGATATCTCTGAAGATGAAGTTGTTGTAGAAAATAAACGCGTCTGTGATATAAAAAGACAACCAATGAGCAAACGTCTTCAACAAGACAACACCATAAAAGAAAACGTTTCAATGGTTATTCAAGAACAAGAAGCAAAAGAGGGTGTAAAATCAGAGAAATCGCAGGTGCATGCAAAGCTCTTGAATGAAGAATTGACAGGATCGCCAGCAAATGAAGCTCCCGCAGATTCAGAATATGTAATAATAGATATAATGGATGCAAAAGGTGACTCAGAACAGACTACCTAATTCAAGAAGAATAAAGTATGATAATCAGTTTTGTGTAAGTTAGCTTGTAAGGCTAACTTATGCATGCACACACATTTGAATGTGGCTGTATCTCTCGTTCACTTTGTGTCAACGTGAAACATTCCAAAATTTGCTATTTGCATTTCAGCTTTTGAAATTAGATTCGTGGGGTATTCATTTTCCTAACTTATATCTGTTATTTATTACTCTTGCCGAGATTATTGTGGCACAAGTTTTTTTCATCTAAACTCATCATTATTCAGACATTACTCTCATTAATCAACTACTAAGAGCTCATCGGAGTTTTTAAAAAGAAACATAGAAATTCCTGAACTTTGTTTCCTTTTATCAGTATCCTACATTAACACAAATATACACACAGGCAGATACACACACAAATCCTTTAATGATCCACTGGAGTTTGCAAGGTGAAACTTCATCTGTAATTTCATAAACTGGACTGATCGTTCTGGATGACACTGGTGTTCAATTCTCAAAGACCTATCATTCTTCAAGCGTGATGAAGACGTAAGGTATTTATTTTCAAATTATTATTGTCATTAATAAAGTTATTTACCCAATTTCATCTACAATGTTTCCCTTTATCCTTGATTCTTATGATTTTCATGAGGAAAACTGAATGTGCACATTGTATGAATGGATACCGGCTAAGCATGCATTTGCCTGGAGTGAATTTACTATGTGGAGCACGTTTACACTTTTGCATGTTATGGTTTATCACAGTCTGTATACACTCTAAGTGTATATTCGCTTTACTTTAAAGTAGTTAGTTGTAAAGGAACCATTTGGCCAGGTCAGGCATAGATAAAACGATCATCATAATGAGGAGAGTATCAAAACAGCTTGTGACTCAAGATAATCATTCCAAAGATGTAAATCACAAATTCTTTGTAAATTCTAAGAATATAAGATTTAAAATAAAATATAAGGTTAAGGTATCAAGCAGTTCTTTCAGTTCGATAAATGGTTTCTCAGTAATGTAAACCTCTGCTTTATTTGTCAGAAATACCTAGAATCTTCCGATTTTGCTACAAATTCCATCGTTTAACCACATGGTTAAAACACATTAAATGGCATTTTTCAGTTGCAGATACTATGAAGTACTTAACAGATGCCATCAAATGTTGCTAAATTGCGACATTGTTTCGATAAATGAAAAGATAAAAACGTGGAGTAATAACTACTTTGAACTTTTTGGCTATTAAGCAAAACAGGAATATTCGCCGAACATCTTATTATTATAACTCTGTTTTTACTGAAAAGACTTGTTTTCACTTATACACTTTCATTACTCATAACTGTTATAGCATGAAGCAGTCGAGATGTTGAGATTATACTAAAAATTGTACATTAAACATAAGTCATTATATACAACAGAAACTACTTGTTTAACTTATCTCTGAGATACCCCAGAAACTGCATCTATTGTAAGTGTCTCAACCACCTGAGTCACCAAGTGATTGGTAAAAGCTACTATCTTATCAAATCTATAGGGCCTAATTATCCTACACACTGACTTAGACAGATGACATCAGGTTTGGCCTTAGCTATTGTTAAAGTATACATGATTCTTCTTAAAATCCAGTGTGTTTCAAGCATAATAAACGTGTGATTCATGTTTACACCTTATGTGTGTAGGCACAAAAATGGGTAGGATAGGAAATGTATGTGGTTAAACCTAAGTGAAGGAGGTTCACACAAAAATAATGACTAATAGAAAAAAGCACATTGCCAAGTCATTTAAAAGACAAAGGATAGTGAACAAACGTGCATTTGGACACATTCTAATGCATTTGAATAACCTGGATACATGCCGTTTACTTTCAGTCAGACATTTTCATACGCCAATAAAATGTGTCCAAATTCTTGAACACTCATTACAACCCTATGTTTTGACTTGGTAACATGTCTTATTGTAGCCTAGTTAACAGGGCTGATGAGTCGTTTAACTATTAGAGTGTCATTATCTATCTTAACAATACTACATTCACTGAAAGCAATGTCATAAAAATAAGAGGATTATATGAAGCCTTCTCACAATAACGTATTTTGCATATGATATTGTTGTAATTGCTACGTTAAGAGTTTACAGGATAAAACGTCTGTTTAACTTATCTCACAACATTTTGTAAGGCGATTGAGACAGCTTTTTCGGAATAAAATGAATTTGTTTTGTGTCTTAGGATTACGATCAGCTACATTCAGCCTGCATAATATAATACTTAAGCAAACAATGTGCTAATTAAGACATTCTTTAACTGAATAGGTAGTTCATTTTGTAAGAGTAAAATAGCATGCCAAAAACTGAGACAAAGTACAAAATACTCAGGAAATTTGAATAACCAAATATAATTAAAATTGTGACATTATGAAGAGTAGAGTAATTTGAAATTATAGGGTAGCTCACGTAATCATATGAAGAATTATTCAAACAAAATGAAAGAGGTAAAACATCACAGAGGTATTCATTGAATCAGTAGGAAAATAGATGAGTGTAAAATGTGAAGTCAAGTCACATGAATAAAATCAAATTTCAGTGAGTTAAGAAGAAAGAGTCAGTGTTCACCGAGGTCGCGATAAGTTAGTAGCAGTCTCTTCATGAACACATAATTCAGGCTTGACTTTTCGAACGGCGACATCCTCACAAATTCAGTAGATAGTGACCAGCATTGGAATCCAGGATGCTCATTTAGTCCTGCTTGGGACTCAAAAGCTGAATGTACCTTCATTCTCCAGTCAGTGATCGTATTTCTACTGAGGTTCAAACCCAGTACCCATCGTTTCAAACACACGAGGAGCCGACATGTCAACAAAGGTCGAACATTTCAGTAAAATCAATCAACGGTAAAATCAGAACCATATTAAAAATAAATAATAGCGGTGAAGATTTTTGTTTGTTCATCATCTCAAAAGATCCTGATACGTTGATGTGATCTCCTGCATCAGCCTGGAACAAACTGTGGGGTTGTTAAACGAAGGTGAACATCCAAGACTTAGGGTCCTCGGTATATGCTCATTAATCCTCGCAGACAACCGTTACTCTGTTCTTACTGTGTGCTTCCCAACACAAGAACGTGTGAGTTCAGGGACACAGTTGCAGTTAACGAGAGTACTTTATCTGAAAATGACAACATCAGGTTCTCATTAGAATTCATCCCTATTAAAGCAACCGAGTACTAAACTTAAAGTAAAGAGTTATCACTGTTTTCGACCGCGATTTAGTATTAACGTCGCATTAAGATTCTGACAGGTAATGCAACTGTTAAGTACACTTTGGAATCCAAGTTTCATAAATTCCATACCGAGAAGTACGTCTGGACTGGGATTAAAGAGAAACTTGATAATGGTGATAGGTGTACAGCATACATTGACTTCCATTATGGGTCAAATTTATCATTATAAGAAAAAGATGCGAACAGAAAGAAATTTTCTTTACGTCAATTCATTTTCATAAGCTGTATATTTAACAAAGAATTCATAAGACCAATCAGATACTGGTAAAATGTGTCCCCCATAATGTAGGGCGACTAATTCTAAGTTAGAAAAAGAGCACAAGTTGGGATGACGTAATAAGTGTGAGAAAATGACTAATCAGCGTAACTGTGTAGAGTGGACATGAATGAGTGGAAAGACAATAAATTGTTCTTACAAAATCTGTGCAAAAATGAAATATTATTATAGACAGCAATGGAGTGATAATAAAATAAGGAAGATGAGAATAATAATGGTAAAAATACATCTTCCTGTCTACCTCTGTGTGCTATTTGGAACGTGGCAACTCAAACTGCTGCACTTCGGTGCCAAGTTCTATGTTGAATCCAGACAGACAGACAGACAGACAAAAATATAGAAATGATAACAATAGTAAACTCACAAAATACAATACACGAAATTGTAGTAAGGGTGTTACTCTGGCCACGAGAGGGCAAGTGAATACAAATAGTTCTTTTGAATGCCAGGGTCTGGTTTCATATCCCGCACAGCCAGCAATTTTAGGTATGTATAGATGGCGTATCCGAATTCCTTCCGTACAATATTGAGGAATTCTGTGTGGCACTGTGAAGTATTCATGAGGGGTTGCTAAATATCCAGAGTTGACAGTGAGTTCGAGGATGGAGTTGCTACTGTTCGTCTTTCCTTCTCTGGCTAACCAAACTAGACAGTGTTCCAGAACACGTTTACGGGCTTGATGTTGTGTACAGCCGATTTGTTTACTCCACACGAATTAGTTTTATGTTAAATATAATTACGATTGTACAGCTTATGAAAATGAATCGTCGAAAAAAATATCTTGTTCACTGTTTACTTCTTTTTCTTATGACTCAGTATGGGAATATTTCTTTCATTAAATCCCAGTTATATTCTTATACATGAGTTTATACCTAACAATGTTGTTATATTGAATTTTAAAAGTAGAATTCGAGCACAGTGGTGAACGATACACACACCAGTACACCATTATTTATTGATGACATTTTGAGCACAGTTCATTGGATTTCCGACCTATTATTAGGTGTTAGAGCCACCCTTTGTGCCTTATCATGATGTTCAAGAAAGACAGACAAACAAGGAACCGGAAAATATTTGTGTTCCACTTATTGTTAGCTAATACATCACTTGTTTACAAGTCCTTGTTAGCCTCCGCTCCTGCGTGCTTACTTGTATCAGGCACCTTAGGTGAAAATAACCAGTCCTAATATCTTATGATAAATGTAGACGGTATAATCTCAAAGTAAACTAACCCACTTAGCCGTTGTTCTACGTGAAAGGAAAAATAAACTCCTCTTTGCTACGCATGACATTAATTATTATTCAATCTGAGGCTACTCAAATTAGTCTGACTACTATGACTCCATAAAAAGGTGTCTTTTGTCTCAAATCTTGATTATCTTTTAAATATAACCATGAAATTAAGAAAAAATTGTGGGAAAGAAAGAATATTTGAAGTTAGAAGACTTAGTTGAGCATGCAGGTCTGTTCTTTACCTTAATGGAAGCGAAAAAATTTTAATAAAGGTGGAATATTTCCTTTTTGTGTTCAGATAGTCAACAACTTATTATTAAATGTGACCAACATGTTGAATGATCAATGATCGTTTATTCAGGAAGAAAACAATTTTAACTATTCAGATCCAATAAATGTTCCGTCTTATTTCGTGAAGTATTGCAATGTACGTTTTTGCAAAGAAATCCGTATTTAAGTTGAATCACTTATTTTTATAGGATAGAGCTTTTTTGTGTAATAAGATGTGTGCAGTTTTGTTAATGAGTAGTACTTATAAATATGTAGTTGTTATGGTATACATACAGAAGAATACGAGTTCCATTGTTAGCAACAACAAATTTAGCATCTCTATCCCGTAGGTCATAAAGTAAAAGAAATGGCTTAAGATCCAAGAAAGCGTAGATCATAGTGTCATTTGAGCTTTGAGTTAACTTCAATCCAGTTGCTCGGAATGGGAAAACATCCACTTAGATAAGATGATTAGTTTCACCTTCAAATAGTGTGACTTATTTTTTCTATCATCTGAACACCACTAAAAATTGCACACCTTGCTAATTCATATTTTACCTTTGGTTTCTTCCACTTAACTATCTATAGCAATCTAAGAGATCATGATTCCTGTGCAATTCTTTGTGCTTCAAAACCGTGTATGTTCCATACTCTTCAATATCTTCTAATGTGGTGATGCTGCGATGACTAAGAATAGCGGTACATAACTAACATCGAAAACTTCGATCTACCACTGTCCAAAAATTTGCAATAATAATTAGCTATCATAATTGTATTTTGTCTCCAAAGTGGAATTCGATTCTCTTTCGATGTGTAAATTTCATATTCTTTTCGATAATTTTCAACACTTTCAGTGGAGATTTCAGTAATGTCCTGAAACCAATTATGCAGATATTACCAAATATAATAAGCCAGTTAACTTTCTCCCAAATTTACACAATTGTTGATCAGAAGGTTTTTCCAAGGTATGCAATTAAAAAATTATTAATCGACAACCATTTTACTTATACAAATACCCACAAATGATAATGCGTTATAACTTCATATCATAAAACTTCTTTGTTCACAAAAACAAACTGAAATAAATGGACTATAAAATTATTCCCTTCTCTTGTCTGTTTCCTAGAGTTTTCCAACTTCTAGGAAGCTACTTAAATCTTGACTAAAAAGTTAATCTACTTTTACTACAACGAATATGAAGAAGGAATATTTTCCGTCAACCAAATGGAAACTGCAACCACCTATTTATTGAACTATCCACACACAGACAATTCACTATTCATTGAGGTCGACATACTGAGATTGCTGATATCCTACTTTAAATTATTTTCCTGCTCTTATAACACTGCTTCAGAGATCACGTGGCATAAACATCGATGGACAAAATCATGCTCTTCATTGTCTTTATTTGTTATTTTCGCTTCTTCGTAGTCAATCGTTGTCGTTTGTCCTTAAATTCTGACTCTCTTTGCACAAATTATTTTGTCTAACTTCATATAGATAGTATTTAGTAAGATTGTCCACTGAAAACGAAACGAGCTTTAGCTTTCGCTTATGGATTTTTACCTCACCGTCAGTAATTATTCATATTGCTTTTTTTGAGTTTATTTTGGAGACGTATTGCCATGCACATCATATATCTCTTCGCAACTACTAAAACGAGAAAACTAGTATGCATTTGCTTTTACTTCCTTGAGGCATATTTTGCTTCTGAAATGCTCCTTTTTACCTATTCTTGCGCTCTTCTTCACCACTTGCTCTTTTCTTAGTGATTCCCTTCTTTCTATCTGTTTCTGCTTCGTCTGTATCCTTGCACCAGCAGCCTTCAAATGAAATTCTCATTTGTCTTCTAGTTGTAATCATATCGATTCAAAGATGTGACAGTAATTTGTCGGGTTGATTGTAACATCGTTTAAATGCGCTTTCACTCACTCATTTCAATATTCCTTGTTCTCCTTATCTCTTTTTCATTAATTTTAGAATTGCTGATGATTAAATAAATTTAATCAATAAGTTTATGTAATCTTTTACCTACTAGGTCAACAGAAACTGGCAAATCACAATAAAATTAATGTGCCACACAGACAAAAAGCAAAGGAATTCACCGATAAAGAGTTCTTGTTTATATATATATATGGATCAAATACTACAGTCATTCAAAAGTTTTCAGCCAGAGTCACAAATAATAAAAATTAACAACTGTGTCATCGAAGTAATCAAAATTCAACCTGGACGGTATGCACAAAATGTTTGTATTGGTAGGCTTAAGCTAGCAAGCATAGATGACATGAACAGAAGTCTGCCCAAATAAATATTTTACACAGTCATTCAGGCAACTGATTGTCACATTTGACCTACCCTTAGACTAAAGCAGTCTCCGAAATACTTTTAGTAGTCAATAATAATCATAGCTTTATTTTACACAAAAAGTTTACACAATGCAGGAGTACTTTTTACGTAAGCATTTCTCACCATAAAGTATCTACAAAGTAAAATATGAATTTACAGTATACATTTTGACGCACTGCTATTCCATCTGAAGCATATAGTAATCTCGCATAAGGTATATTGTAACAACATAAGACAAGAGCCAGGCAACATATCGTTTATTGACAAAATCAAAAGATATTTGTAGATTTTTATGTACATTATTATTCGTTATTTTAGCAGAGAAGTAACGTCTTCTGGTCGGTTGTTTTCTTGATGAAGGTTATTCTGTACTGCTTGTGACCGTTGCTTACAAAGTTGTCCATATATCTGCGAATCGTATTTACACACACAAAGGCTGCTGTGATTGGTTGTTAAGATACTCAAGGTTGAGCTTTGCTTTTATTTTTTTCTCATGCCCCCGATTCGGGACGTAAACATTGACGTGAATTGTTGTGTACAGCTCTCACAACAATATAATCTCAGCATGGAGAATATGTGAACCGATAGTTTCAAAGTCAATTAAAAATATATAACATTAATTTTTCAAGCACCAGGACATTATCGAATGGTTCAAACAAATCTAAAACAAAAAATACGATGGTTGTGATGGATAGAAATTACGGCAGCCAATTGGTTCCCGAAGATTATGAAGTTGTGGTTGAAACATCCAATATAGCTAAAGAAGCAACCTTAAAGAAATCAGTAATCACTCAAATTACGAAATCCAACAAATTATTAGTAGGAAACAACGGACCATAAACGAAGAAGTTGGCAACAATATTTCATCTTCTATTGATAAGTGGGTTATCAACCTTTTTTCGAGAGAATTAAGCCTCAGTGAGATAAAACTACTTGAAAAAGGATTGAATTTTATTGTTACTGTTAGCAAACTAAAGCCAGAAGATAACATATTTAACATAGAAGTGGCAATAAGTTGAATAGATATGCGGTTCGAACTCAGTACACATTAACTGTTAAAAAACAAAAGAAAGCACAGTCAAACAACAAAATCAGAAAGATTAGATCTAATTAATCTTGAAAAGGATAAAAACATCGTCATCACAAAAGCTGATAGAGGAAACTCTACAGTAGTTTTAGATAAATCTGATTCAATAAAAAGTCACTGAATACATTGAAACGGATCTATATGAGGAAATTAAGAAGACTGTAGATACAGTAAAGAATAAGATTAAGAAATCCACAGTGGATTTAATACGTGGTATGAAGCTGTCACTCAGTGGGTCTAAATGGTGTAATTTAATGCCTAAAATTAATATCGCTAGTAGAATGTATGGTACTATGAAAATTCATAATCCAGGTGACCCCACACGACCAAAATATATGCCGAAATATTAATTATTAAAACACTTACCTCTAATACTATGTCTCATTAAAAATCATTCAAACTCTAAGTTTGAATTTACATCAAATGAAATGGTAACTAAATAACATTCAATTAGAGAATAATCAAAAAAGTTTAATTTTGATATGACTTGTCTTTACACTAAAATACCAATCAATATGGCCTTAGAAGTGATTAAAAGGGTACTAACTTCTGATCCAGAACTCAGTGATAGGACAGAGATGCTGATTCAGAAAATTATTTTAGGAATTCTGTTATGCCTCACATCTACTGTCTTTAAATTCCAGGGCAAAAAATATAAACAAACATACGGTGTAGCAACAGGATCACCAATATCATCTATCGTAGCAGACAGCTTTATGGACAGCTGAGAAAATATTGCTCTTAATAAATTTATTCCTACTCCGAAGATATTGTGAAGATATGTGGATAACAATTTCACTCACAGTGTTAAAAATAGAACATATCTCTAGCTTCTTGATGCATATAAGCGCTAGTAAAGGGAATAAAGTTCACATTTTAATCGGAAAATGAACAAGGAAAATCAGCTATGTCAGATCATCAAATAAAACGAACAGATAAAGGTAAACTGAACACTAGCGTTTATAAAAGCCAACGCATTATCATAGTGATTAGAATTGAATTCACTTCATCCTTTGTCTGTAAAAACTGACATAATTACAGTTTAACAAACCGAGCGAAAGCATTAAGGTGTACAAAAACAAAACCTAAAGTAAGAAACAATGTGTGACTGATAAAAACATACTGTATCACAGCACCCATCTTTTATACTTACATTTAGAACAACACATTTAAGCGAACAATATTGTTTTCAATTAAATCTCATCAGGCTTAACTCTATTCATAAGTTTACAAATAAAAATTCAAATATAAACCAACCATGGCGTTTTGTCTATAGGATAATAAGATGGTGAATATAAATTGTGGAACTAGTCATAATAGTAGTAATGATAATAATATTAGTAATAATAATAATGGTCTTATCAGTAATAAGGATGAAAAACTGAGGCAGTCTGTGATAACACGAATAATGAAAAACAGCATGATTAAACAAGCAAATGTTCAGAGGGAAGTAGTAGATTAAGGCTTCTAAAATCAAATGAACCGATAAAGTAATGTTAGATTGTAAGGGAAGGAAATGAAACACGTTTATAATGAAGATAAGATTAAGGGATGATAAGAAAGGGTTTGAAAGTATAAACAAGGGGTGGTGTAGAAGTCATTAGTTGATCCAAGTGCATTCGTGTCCCTGTCAAAAAACTTTGTAGGACCTTGTAGACTGTTGAAGGATGCACCAGATGCTGCGTGATCATTACCTGGTATCTGTTCAAAGAGATATGGAAGTAAAATGAAGTGAAATGCAGTCAGACAATAGAGACAAGAAAAGGTTAAGTTCGAAGAGTGACAAATAAAAACAATAATAATAATAATATTAGCTTATCTACTAAGGACACATACACGAACAACTCGAAGTTGAATAAAATATGCGCAATTCTCCTGAAGACGTTATAGGTTACACAGTGGAAGTTTGAGAAAATCTCGATTTTCATCAATGAAAAAAATACCCAATACAATTTCAAAAACAGTGGTTAATGAGCGTAGAATGATCCTTTAAATTATTTAATTAACAGCGTCAAAAGTGGTTGGTAGGAGTTAGAATTCATGAGCCATTGAATCGGCTCCCAGTGGCTGAATGGTATACGAGCTCGCCTTGTAACCGGAAGGTGCTGGGTTCGAATCCCAGTGGGTGTGTACTTCCGATGATTCACAAACTAGGATGAAACAGCAGCTGTCCAGTACTCCCCACTGGTTTTCAATGCTTCTCTAACTGATATCAATCCGTGATCAACTCGTGAAAACAT